CCACTTAACATCTTTATAATAACAAATAACTTCCCTGTTATCTCTGACATAATAGAAAATACCTTTTTTTCTAGTTATATTTGAAGTCTGTACTGACAAACCTAGCAATAAAATTAACTAGCTGCAACTGAAAAATTCTGTTCCTTTGTAGGTGTTTTTTTTGGTTTTTTTTTTTTTTTTGAGTGCAATGCAATAAGCAAGCTTCTTAAATTAAACTTAATAAAAGGCTGTTATCAAAAAAGAGGAAGTTCTACAGGATTTTATTGGCATAACTGTAAGGCTCATCTGTCGTTTGCCTGTAGACTCTACCTGAAAGCCTCTCAGCAATATCTTATAAGTTCAGAAAAAATGCTTTTTCTTGATGGAAATAGTCCTCCATGACCCCAGTCATATGCCATCTTAAACCTTTGTCTCCCTGCAGAGTATAGTCAGTCACCATGAAATTGAAGAATATGATATTTCTTCATTCAGCATTGGAAAGCAGCAGCAGGTGGAAAAGCATGTTCTTTGTTATTTCGAAGAACAGTCTTGAAGGAGGAAAAGCAGATCCCAAGGAGTAAAACCTTGATTCTATCAACTGAGATAAATATAATTTGAAACAGTGGAGATTGCCAGCAGAAGGGTGGGTGGTAAGTGCAGTGGTTCATTTGTGTGGCTTGCTCTACAGACCTGCTCCCCACGTTGCTATCAAGGCCACCTCCATGCTGGTGGGTGCTTATTCTGTGAGCATTCAGCTGTATTGCCTCCCTGAACACCATACATGATACATAAGAAAATTGCTTTCCCTCTGACAGAAGTGCACTTGAACTAGGAATTTCACCAATACAGCAATGTCATTTTAGGTGATGCATGCAGTGGCAAAGGAGGAATGTTGCTGTGTAGAATGGACAAAGGTCTAACGGCCTTGAACAGACTATGCAACGTGGTCAAAGCTCTCAATGCGTTATATAAAGCTGGCCTTGGATCTCCACTTAACTTCTTCATTGGGGTGTCTGCTACCAAAGGCTTGAGTATCTCCTGTATATAAACATGTAACTAAACATCATGGGATATTATAGAGTACAGAAGACTACACAGGTTTAAAAACAAAGTAAGAAAATCTATGAATAGGAGCCATACCTGTTTGCTGCTGCTCCAGTGCAAATTTCAGAAGAGGAAGTGTCTAGGCAGCTCGTTCATCCTACTGGAACATACTCTCAGCTTCCAACAACCTGACTGTCCTGCTTGAGTACTTGTATTCTCAACCAGTAGCAGGGGATGGGTTTCAAAAGACAAAGCTTGCCTTGTGCCTTGTCAGAACACAAGAATCTTCCTTTCTGTCTTTAGCGATAGCCAAGAAGTTTATGCAGTGGTATATAGTGTGTAATAAGTGTACATGTTCTGGCACTGTTTCATGTGTCTAAATAGATATACGTTGCCCATCAAAAAGAGTTGAAACTGATTAACATGTCAATTTTTAGTTCTGAGTATTTATTTCAAAGTAACGAAGTGTTGAAATAGTCTTTCAGCATTAGATGGCAGGTTGCTGCTGCAAGGCTGCTAATGTTTTAACTGGTTTTAAGTTACAATCTTCTTTAGAAGTGCTTCCTGTAACAAAGTCCCAGAGGAGCAGCTGACTCTCTTCAGTCAAAAAAGAGGCACAGCCTTGAGAAATTAGCCCAGTGGTCAGACACAACCTAACTGACACACAGCAGCCTTTGAGAATGGGGACTTCCTGAAAAGGGATTTTTGCAGAGTGGAGCTGAGAAATAAAACATAAGTAGCAGCAACTTACTTGGAGAAGGGAGAATGGCTCCTTACCATAACATCTTTGTTGTTGTTAATTGAGCATTTTCCATATTTTGCAAGACTGGGGGTAAAGGAAGAATTTTCTGCTAGTGATTCTTCATATTCATTATTCTGGTTGGCATATATTTATGTGTCTTAAATGTTGTGCAACTGTTACACACCTTTTTAAACTGCTTTAGTTAAACATAAAGAAAGCTCAGGATAAAGCTGAATGTGCAAAATATTAACCTGAGGTCACTTCCTACATCACAGTGAAAGCATTTTTGCTGTGTGGTTTTGTTTTTTCATTTAAACCTTGTTCTGCCATCTACCGGCAGTTCGTGTTACAAAGCAGAGATGGTGTAGTGTTATTGTAATTGTAGAGCTGTCTGTGCTAGCTTGCTGTTCGTAGTCTGTTTTGCAAAACAGAACTTGCATTCCTATCGTTAATCAAATTTCTCATCGCAAATAGCTGGTGTACCCATTGCACTTATAATGTATATTGCGTGAAGGCATGTATTAAACAAATTGAAGCCTTAAAAATCATGCTAGAATAGAAGTTACTACCCAGGGAATATTATTCCAGCCTTCAAAGCTCTAAGACGCCTGTGCTATTTTAATGCTACCCTTGCTGCATGCGTATGCAGTTATGATGTCTGTGTTTCAAGAGATCACATGCTGTTTTCCTCCACACAGTTCATTTCTGCATTGGTGAGTTGTACCTTTAATGAACAGTCATCCCATGTATTTTGTTGTTTCTTCTGTGACATAGCCAAGTGTGGGGTGTTCTTCTCCAGGGCAGCCTTCAAATTATTTCTCTTTCTTTTTCTAAACACTTTCCAGTTTCAGAAGGAAATGAAGCAGGAAGCATAAACTGCAATTCCTTTGTTATGAACTTGGTTTACTCCTTGAGGAAGTTCATCCTATGTACTGCATAAGCCAAGGGACCTAAAAAGAAAAAATACATAATAATATGTCTGGAAGGAAGCAAACAAGGAATGTGCAGACTGTTTTAATTCTTATACATTCTCATTTCTTAAGCATCTGGCAGTGCAACCTTGACAGTCTTTTTAATATTGCTGGTGGGATTGAGACATCTGTAGTCTTGAGGAAGGCAACCTAGAAAAGTGGAAGTTTCATCCCATGTCAGCTTGGGATAGCTGTGGCAGCTGTGACAAGGCTGGAGCTTTTAGATCCACTTCTGCCCACTTGCATTCATAAAGCAAACACAGTAGAAATAGATTGCTGTAATTTTATTGGCAATTTTATTGATAATTTTATTGGACATAATTTAATGTGTAGATTTCATAGGTATTTGCTGGAAGCAGGAGGGCAGTGAAAGTCAGCACATTGTTTTATGAACACGAACCAGAAGCTCCTCCAATCCCTCCAGTTTACTGCCATCCAGTTTTCCATTCTTCAGGTGTCACTTCTCAACTGCTCCCCTTCACTCCTAAGAGCTCAGTTCCTGCCTCTGTTCGTCTCCTTCCCTGCCTGCAGCCTGTGCTTGCTCTCAAGACCAATCTTCCTTCCCTGGGATCTTCATCCAGATTTGGTTTCGTATCTGCTCCTTCTAGTCTAAATTGTAGTTTCCAAGTTGTTTTTTAGTTTCAGATCTTCAAATAACTTTCCATTAATTGGAACTGTAATTTAACCATGCTGACAACAGGCTTCTTCTTTTTAGGCACTTAAATGCAGGCCCTTCCTAGTAGTTATAACCCCCTGTCACGTTTGCTGTACTCAGTTGCTGCTCTCACTGCTTGTCAAATCTGACAATTAATGGCAGCCAAGCGAACAAACAACTGGACTAGTTTGGAAGTAGGAAGAGTCTTTGGTCATAAGTAGATATTGATCTGACCCACACATTCCTGATGTAACTATCCAGCCGACAGCTGTAGTTGCCATTTGCCATGGACCTGGCTGCCTTTGGGCAGTTGCTGTCTGTGTGAGCATTGGCATTTTTTCCTAGCCACAAGAGGCCACTGAGGCTGGTCTTCAAACTTACTACATAGCAGTTCCCTTTACAGAAAAGTCCTCGCTCTGTACAAGCTTTGCTTCCATGGGCAGAATGCCCCCTGAGCCTAGAAGTGTGATTTTGGGGAAGAATTGCGGTTAGAATCCAAGTCAGTTTTCCATTGTACTTATCTGAAAAAAAAAAAAAAAAAAAAAAGACCATCTGCAGTTCTTTGTGCAAAAGGGGAAGGGGATTCCATTATATGGAAACTCAGCAGAGAGCCCAAATAATGATGGTGGAGGATATAAACTGCTGTGAAACCCTCTGCTTGTGTGCACTGCGGCCCTGCTAAAACCCCAGGAGATCCTGGAAGTAAAGAGAGAAACAGGGGCTTTGGAGGCCCTGTTGTTGGAAGGATGCAGTCAGCTAGCTGCTCTCTCAAGTCAGTGGCTAAGGCTTGTCCAGAAAGCAGGGCCTGGAGAGCTTGTGTGTGGTGTTTGGGATGGAGGAGTCTGTGAAGACCCAGCCATCAGCTCTTTGCAGGGTGCAAAGGCAGGTGTCTCCCAGCCTCCTCATGTGTCATGCTCTCACTGCCGGGCCAAATCATGCTGTTCAGTGGATTGGGCCTTGCTGCAATGTCTGGCTATAAAACAAAGCAACCTCCTCCCAGGTGAGTAATGTGCTTGTAGGTACCGACTGGAGGAGGGAAACAGTTTCCTACCAGGAAAAGGAAGTAGAAGGGCTGCTGTCTGCCTAGCCTCATCCTGCAGTAATTACTGCTTGTTGCAGTGAGTTGGTGCTGGTGGTTTCCTGTGGGCTGGGAGGCTGCAAATACTACGGCTGGGACTCCACACAGCATTAAGCTATGAGAGAACTACATACTGTTTCTATTGCTTTCCTGAACTGCCTTTTATTTTTGTTAGCCAAAAACTTGGCTAAACTTGATAGCCAAGATCTCACTTTTGAGGTTACTACCAAAGTGGAAGGGACACTGATTGCATCTTTATGATGTTTCCCAAGAAACATACAAACTTTAAAATGAGCACTAAGAGCTTGTTTGTTCACACTGAGAAGAGCCGGATGCTTAGGCCGATGAGGTGTGTTTGGACTTCAGCAGTAGGTAAGAGATTGTTAACCCATCTGCCTCCACCAAGTGCAAAGTCATTTCTGTTGTCCGGGCTGTTACATGCACTAGATTCAATTTGCAGGAAGCAGAGAGTTCTTTGGGATGCTTCTTTGGTTTTACTAACACTTGTTTTTCTTCTCTTTCTCACTTCAGCCATTGATGGATTTCTAAAAACTGATGAAAGACAAAGACTAGCAAAAGAACGAAGAGAAGAAAGAGAGAAATATCTTGGTAAGATGGTGGGAAGTGTCTGTATTATTCATGTATATATGCTACTAGACTTCAGTTATATGACATTTCTTCTGTTTTGAGTTTTAAACACTGTAGTTTAGTCTATTACTAGCCTTTATGACTTATATTACTTCTTTAAAACTAATGGATATGTTCTTTAATTTCCATTCAAGTATTTCATATTTTGCAGCAATTAATTGACTTTCTTCTGTGATACATGTATTTTTGAATGTAGGTTAATGTGCTGACTGCTAGGATTTGTATTTGTAAAACAAACAAAAAACCTGAAATAAGCCTCGAATAACATTTACCAAATAATCCTACATATTAATATAAAACAGCCTTAATTTTAGCATGTTAAGTTTTAGTCCCATGAAAATATACCACAGAGCTGTTAAGTCCTGCATGAAGTGGATTATTTTTTAAAGTTTTATAACAATCTTTGTTCAAGGGAATAAAAAAAAAAAAAAATCAATTCATCAAATTCCGAAGCATTGATTTCAGAGTTTTTATAATGATCAGTTGTTTTTAGTCTACCAACATCTCCAAGGAAATGCTGGGGAAATTTTGCAGAGAAATGAACTGTTCAACCTCGCTCCCCTCCCCCCCCAAATGTGTTTGTATATCTATAAACTTAAAAGAATATGTTTAAACAGTTAAGCTTATTTTTCTCATTGCAGTATGCAGACAGGCCAGTAGCTCTGTTCCTTACAGTTACCTGATGATACCTATTAAAAGGATTTGTTATTATTCTAGGATTTTGTAAAATTATAAAATTGCTATAAAAATAATAAATTGCCATTTATTTCGAGACAGTGTTAACTGAAAATGGACACATGTGGAAAAAATGATGAGAAAATACTCTTTTCCTTGCAATAAATAAACTGTTGACCATATCTTGACAAAACCTGAGGCCTGAAATGTGATTTTTTTTTTAGTGCAGTGAGCTTGGTGAGCAAGACTTCTTTCTGTAGTTCATGTGGAAATCTGCTTAGTGGGGATTAAAATTTTTAGTAGTTAATCTCCCCAGAAATTCTGTCCGTATGGGGCATGCACCAGTCTTAGTTTTATCTCTTATAGCTATATTCAGTCTAGACTACCTTTCCTGTCACTTTGATTATCCCTTCTTTGCTGGCTCCTGAGAACGTGAGGTGATGAGTGGAAAGGATTTGGATTACAGAGGAAAAGAGGAGGTGGGTTAAAGAGGAAAAGAGGAGGTCGGAGGAAAACTGAAAGCTGGACAATCTGGGGAGCAGCTAGCCCAGGTGGTTTGAAAGTTATTGGTTGCATTTCTTGTCTCCAGCCACTGTATGTGCCTTCTGAAAACATACTTGGTTAGAATTAAAACCCCTGCAAGAGTCAAGACCTTTGGATTTTGGCCTTAGTAGCTATTTGTCTCTGTCAGATTCATTAAAGAAGTTCAGAAAAAAAGCAGTGAGTTCTCCAGAAGAGCAAATATTTATGCACCCAGCAAGTATTTTTACAGCAATATAGAATCATCTCCTCGTCAAAGCCAAATTCATTAACCAATGGTTTAGTATTCCTAAATCAAGAAACAAGAATTGGTGTCAGAATGGTTTGCTTCTCTGTCCAGAATCAGTCCTGGGTTTCACCTACTTGTTTGAAAGGTAACTAGTACAGTCTCCGACAGCTCACTGTATTTTTTGTCTTTTATCAACTCCTACATGCAGTTTTCACCTGTTCTACCTGACATGGCTAGTAGTCATCAACAATTAGGGACTTGTCTCTCCTCTTCCACTATATCTGAGGTAACTATCTATTGGCAGGTCCAATTTATTCTGAGAAGTCCAGACTTGCCTACAGCACTAACATGCCTTTCGTATCACTCTTTCCTGAGGTAGACATGAAATAGGCAAAAGGGGAAGGCACAATCAACCATGCTACTGGCAAGAGTAAGACAGGTGGCATTCTGTAAAGCAGGTTGGACATGAGAAAGTATCTTACAAGGATCTGGTAATCAAAGGGGAAGAAATGTGGCTACTGGGAAAGGACTGTGTCTTCTAAGGGGTCTCTGGCTTAGGGACAGAGGGAGGCTGAAAGGGACTGAAGGCTGCAGCTGTAGATGAAGAGCCCAAGGGCAAGGAGCTGGGGGAAGAAATCTGATCTGTGAAGAGGAAATTGAGATAGCTAGGAAAGAGCCTAGGATTGGTGGAAAAAAGTTGAAAGAGAGAACACTCACAGGGCAGTGATTTGCTGAACAAGGAAAACAGCAATTGGAAGAGTAAACTGGGGCGTGAGAGGTGAGCAGAATGAAGGATCTGCTCTTGTATAACCCATGCTAATTCTGACTTTCCCTAGCTTTTAAGTTCTTAGCTCATCAATTGTGTTAATATTCTTTGTTTCATATTAGCTATATGTACGTTGATATGATGTTACAGACTTGTGTGCATGTAAGAATGCTTACTGACCCATTTTGTGCCTTTTTATGGAATGCACTTGAACAAGAAATAGATTTTTTTCACAATTTGTCAAATTAACTTCTGCTACTTATTTTCCTGGTGTAAATCTGAAGCAACAGTCCTGCACATCGTGCTGCAGTCTGAATTTTGTAACAAGGTAATGACAAAAATTATGACTCCATTTGGGATAAGCAACTAGAGAAACTCTCCATAATAGTATTTTTTTTTTTTAATTCCTGGAAGGTAACAGGTAGTATCAAAGTACAGGATTATATATTTCCAAAGCTTTGTGGGGAGTATAGCTGATACATATTTTTAGTATTTATTTTGAAGGCAGCCTTGTGTAGAGAATCATTGTTTTAAAGAAATTCCAACAGCTTTTGCTTGCAAAGAAATTCCAAAGGCTTTTGTGAATCAGCATATGTAGATAATTAACTTTAAAACCTAGTGAGTACATTTGTTAGGTCTGAAAAAAGAATTTGCCTTTAAAGCTGCTGAAGGATTACATATATATATTGCCAGCCAATATATATGTATCTGAAACACACCTTTTTCTCTGCCTAAGCTGCTAGGGAGCAGCAGATACTAGAGAAGGAGAGAAGAGCGAAGCTTCAATATGAAAAGCAAGTGGAGGAACGGTGGAGAAGACTGGAGGAACAGAGACAGAGAGAGGAGCAGAAGAGAGCAGCGGTTGAAGAAAAGCGGAGACAAAAGCTTAAAGAGGAGGAGGTAAGGTCCACTGGGAGTCATATGGAAGAGCAGCTGTGTCTGTTAGCATTAACATAGCTGAGTATCAATGTGTGCTGCAGGTGTTTCTTTCTTCGACCCAGGGACATATGGGCATTACTTTGGGAGCTGCATCCACATCACAACTATTAATACTCCACGACTGCTTGTACCTCAAAAACATTTTTCAAAGCTTTTTTTGTCTCCTGTTTTTTGTCTGATCTCACAAAATGATCATCTACTTATACTAACATATCTGGGACTCCAACTGTTACATGAAGAAGCAAGAGCATCCCAAAAGATAGCTCTTACAGATCAGCTTTTTCATGAACTGGCAAGATTTTTCTTGCTGATTTGTTTGCACTGTCTGTGAACTTGAAGTGATATTTAGGAAATCATATTTCCTTGGTAACACAAAATCAGAAATTCTTTCTTAAACAGTGAAGAACCTAGTCTTGATTTAAACTTGTCATGCAGAACAGAATTTATACAGAATTGCACCTTTTTTCTACTCTTTACTGAGAAATTTTTTTCTCTAATGAGTCCAATTTCTGATGCAGATTTCTGAACCCAGTACATGTGTGTGTTTCTCCCAGCATGACATGCAGCACTGCTACTGCAACTAATTAAGAATTAATGATTTTTGAGAAAAGGGACAGTGGTTTAGAGAGGGAAAAAAAAAACACATCAAGAAAAGATATTTCTTTATTTTCTATATGAAAAGGTTATAGAAATCTGCAGTTATTAATTCCTTCCTTCTCCCAAGTTTATCAAAATGTCTTTACAGAAGAGATGAAACATTTCCACATGGGATCAGAACAGCATACTTGTCTGCTTTTTTCCTTATGTTTGATTTTTTTTCACTGCTTTACTGAAACCTGAAAAGAAAATTGTATCCTGCCATTCTTCTTTCAACTGTAACACAGTGCTTGTGGCTTCTGCATAATTGCTGAGAATTCATTTTTAAATGTTTTGTCATGTGGATCACTTCAAACTTTAAGAAGAATGACAAAAACAGGAACAAAGGTTTAGGAGACCTATCTCCTTCTTTGGTAACATCATTGACCGAGTGTTCTCCTTCCCCAGTACTTCCAGCTGTGATAACCTTTTGCAGCTAAGCAAAATTGCTCTTCTTTATGGGAGATGCAGGGGGTAGTGGCTAATGCAAACACTTCAAAATCCATGTCAAAATCCAAGCTGCACTGGAGGCAGGCAGGGTAGGGGAAAGCTGTAGGCAAAATGAGCCACTTTCTTTCTTTGCCTGCCATCATGATTATTACTGGAGCAGTCAGGGTGGGGGTTGTCAAACTGAAGCGAGGCTGTTCCAGGTCAGACCAAGGATCTCATCACTGAGGTGCCCCATCTGCTGTAAAAGACTTTCCTGTATTTGCCCAGAGATGAATATAGGAAGGAAGAGTAAGGATGGTGATGAATTTACAGCACTAGGGGCATTTCAAGTTACTCACTGCTCCTGAGTCATTTTGGACATTTGAGGTTATCTTTACTGGAAGAGCGTTGAGCTCATGTTTCCCACCCTTGTGGGGGATGCACCCTGGCCAGTGAGCTGATACACTACAGCATGTGCTCAGTGTTTCTCCCTTTAAGACTGGTATATACTGGGTGGGGACTGGAGCTCTGGTTGTCACCTGTGTATGAAGTGTCTGAAGTGCCATGTAGATTTTCTTCCTTGCTGCAAATCTGCCTTACTGGTTGGCCTTTAGGTCTTCCTTAGGTAGTTTTTATCTTGCTTTTTAACACAACAGATGGCAGTGCATAATTTTGATAGGCACAGTTTGTATAAATCTCACTCTAAAAAATATTGTTGTGTCTGTAGGAATTTGGGAGGTAAATGGCTATTAAACCATGGGGAATTGTTTGCTTCCCATGTTGCTGCCTTCTCTGTTTGGGTATTTTGCATATGAAAGGCTTCTCAAATACGAAGTGACCAAAATTTATTTTGCCTGCTTTTTCTGCTCCCCTGCCAGGGAAGAGGTGGTTATGTTAAAGTCTGTATTAATGGGAATGGAGATATTCTGGCAGAGTTGTTCTCCAGGGCAGCTGGAGCTTCTAGTGGAGTATGATGGAAGCGTTTGCCACTCCTTAAGCAGAAAATAAACAGATGTGTCAGAAAATCATCCTTGCGCTGTCTCCATTGACTGCACCTTTCATATCAGGGGAAGTCTTCAATAACAGCACCCTTCCTTCCATGTTCCTTTTAAAGCTTCCCCCTCTTTTAGGATTATGAGTCCATGAGCCTTAAGGAAGGAGATCTGTTGTTTGGCAGCAGAAGGTATTAATGAGTTCATTTTATCAGCAAGCAGCCAGTTGAGTTGCAACTAGGTAAAGGAAAAGCTGCTCCTTGTTTGCTTAAATCATTATTCTTTTTTCTTCTTTTTTCATCTTGAAGCTCCCATTTGCTTTGGAAATGCATTGTAGATAAATGTGTTACTATGCACTCCATATTGGGAAGTCTCTTTAGTAGCAGTGTTCTTCTCTTTCTTGCATATTCCATAACACAATTTGGGCATTGTTTGTAAGGGCCATGTCAAGTTTAGTAGCACAGATGAGAGTGATGGCACCCATCTATTCAAAGATTTTTTTTTTTAACAAAATCTGCTGGTTTTATTGTGAAAGGGAGTTGGTAAAATTAGTACTCATGCTACCAATATACTAATTTTTATTGGAACAGCTACTAGTAAAAAGGTAGACAAATCCAATCTGTTCCAGCATGCAAACTCAATGATAAACGGAAAAGAGCATCTCACATCTCAGTGCTGGGAAGACTCTGTAGTTAGATTTTTGTTTTGGTGTACATACATTATTTGTTATGTTTGGAAAAAAAAAAAACAACACAAAAAAGCACTTGAACACAAGATACAAAAACCTTAGAATGGTGTAGTGTCAGTTATTTACTTATCAAATTATAATGTATGGAATTAATAAATGTCTTCCAAATGTTTTGTAGTCATTTATGTAATGAGTGATGTTCAGTTATGCAAGTAATAGAGAAATGTTGCTGCAAACTGATTGGGGCTGCTATGCAAAAGCAATCTATTGATTGCTATGCAGTGGGCACAAGGAGAAGAATTCAGTCCTTTCCTAATAATGAGCATCCTCTCTTCTGCTCTCTGCTCCCTTCTGCCATAACTGCTGCCCCAGTTCCCCACGTGCAATAACAGAGCCCTCATTTGTCCTATTTGTTTTCCTTTGATGCACCCACTCTTTTTCCATATGAATTTTATATACACCCATAATCTTAAATTGCTGGGAGTACCAATAAATTATATTCAGAGAGGTAGTTAAAAAACACTTTACAAATTTTGAAAGACATTCTTTAAATAGAAAATAACAGAGTTATCTGTTGTTAGGTAGAAGAAGCACTCTAATAAAAGTGAGGCCAACTGATAATATCAGGAAACAGCTACTTATACGCTGATGAATACATAAAGCAAAGAGGAAGAGTTTTTTCTCTCTAATATTATATATTAGAGGGTCTGTTAGGTGTTTGTGTTCTAAGAACAAGGGAGATTGTTTTAGAATTGTTTGCACAAATTATTTTGACTCATAGTATTTGTGAAGCTTTTTTTTGTTTTGTTTTCACATCTATGTCATATCTTATATAGACAAAAGGGAAGTACTTCAGTCAAATTATTTGTATGCTCACAGTTAATTTTTGCTTTTTCTTTTAAAACTCAGGCAGTCCAACCGTTTGTTCTGTTGTTTAGTCTGAGGAAAATGTGCATGAATTACTATGGAATTTGGAAAGTAACGTTTACTTCAGACACTAGCAGTAGATGGCTTTCTTTTTATGGTGTTATTTGTTCTTCATTTAACCTACATGCAAAGTTTGTCCAGTACATTTTTTTGAGGAAGTTAATTGCGTCTCCAGTGCAGAGATTTTTCTGTCTATGGCAGTTTGAGTTCCTATAGAGGATCAGATAATTTGGATGTCTTTAACGAGGTAATTTGCCTATAGCACAGGAGGGCTTCTGCACAGTGTTTGCTAATGAAGAAAAGCTTTGTCTTGCTGTTTGGTTTTTGTCATAATTGAAAATTATTGGTATGTGCATTGCTTATGCTGTGCTTCTCTGCATCCCTGTTATTTTCTTTGGCTTTCTAGTTCTAAAATTCAGTTTTGTGCTCGTTTAAAATGCTTTTTAAACAGCTTTTTAATGACCCTTTGTGCAAAGGGTTTTCATATTGTTCTTTATCTAACCTATATCTGCAGAGTTTCATTAAGCTTAATCATTATGTTCTATAGTGCTGTAATGAAAGGCTCTTTGCAGATAATAATAAATGATCCTCTCCACATTGTGTAATTGAAGATTTTGACCTCAGAATGCGAGTGGTGTGAGCTTTCATATATGTATGAAAAATTGTTTCTCTTTAAACTATTTAATCATGCATTCCATTTTATTTTTAGAACAATGTTTTTTTATAGTACATGGCGTGAGTGTATCCTGTGGTTTGCAAACTAGAGAATATTGTTGGTACTTGCTCTGAGCAGGATTAAAGAAAGCCATTAATCACTCAGATGAAATTTGTCTGCTGTCATACTGTATTTTTTTATTAATGTGTAAGAATGTTAATTAGGTTACAGAAGGAAAAATGATTCTGTAGGATTATGTGTTTTAATGAAAAAAAAAATTGGGAGGGTCATTTTACTTCGAGTGTGGGTAGAAACATAAATTGGAGTAAAAAGTACAGTAGATAAAAATAAAGAAAAGGAGCTAACTGCAGAGAGCTGATGCTGAAATAACGAGCTTGGAAAGCGGAAGTACAGAAAAGAGTCTGAAATAGAATGAAATTAATGTTGGAAAGTGTGAAGGTAAAAGTGGAATATGTGAACTTCAAATACCGAGCCAGCACGTACAGATTTTCAATGTGAAAATTTAATCACCAACTAGTAAGAATGAAAGATTGGAGCAAACTACGGGGAATCTATAGGCTGGGAGATTACTTTCAGGATTACCTTTTCATGTCTGAAGTATAGGCAAGAAGCAATGGGATATTCAAAATGTGACATTTTTTCCTGTGCTATTACAGAAAAGCCTGTGCTTGAGCTTTGTGATGCTTCATGCGTGTGCATTTGAGTGGGGGGGAAAAAAAGAAGAAGGAAAGGCAGATAACACGTTCACATGGCATGCCTGCCTGGACAAGGATGGAACAGAAGGAACAAAAGAAATGGGGGAGGGAGAAGCAGCTGCATGATTTCAACAGTCTTTGCCCAGTGTACCTGTGAGCTAAAGATAGAGAAAGGAGACAAAAATAAAGCAAGCACAGTACATGGGACTAAAGGGTTGTCTTCCTGGAGATAACAGCTGTAATTGTAGCAGCAAGTCAATTGGCTGAAAGGTGACACAGGCTGAAGAACTGAGTGCCTTTTGTCATATTTGTACAGAACGTAATGTAATTGAATTTATGATATAAGTGGCACGTAAGAAAATTAAGAGAGCTTAAAGACAGCTTGATAGATGCTAGCAAGGTTGGATGAGGTGGGAAGCTTGGTCGGCAATAAATTGCTGGAAGTCATTCATGGTAGTGGAAGAGATTCTTCAAGGATGTGTATAAGAGAAAGGATGTTATAGATACATTCTCATCAGCTTCTGGATGACTGCTGTTAATGAAAGCCAGTGGCTGTAGACAATCACAGGAAGATAACACAAATTTTGTAGATACTTGTATAACGGTTCCCAACATGGTAGTTACTTGGTTACATGCCTGGTGCTTGGGTCTGATCTTCTGAAGAAGTAAAATTAGAGACTGCAGGCTCACCATCAGCACAGAGACTGTAGGAGACATGCTTGAACAAAGGCTGATATTTTAGGGATTACAATTTGTCTGGGAAGGGGGATGGGAGAACTAGACCAAAGTCCTGAATCAATGAGAAAGAATAATCTGGACAGAAGATGCAGAAAAATTTTCAATGTAGTTGAGCTGAGTTGTCAAATATCTTGGAGATGGTGCAAGGGATTGGTATTAGTGGAAGAGGATCTGGTATAATCACAGAAAGTGTTTTTGGAGTGAGAAGCCTATGTGAGCTAGAGCTTTTAAGTGATCAGAGTGGGAATTTTGTGCTAAATTGGAAAGACGTAGCAAAGGTAGTAAGTAATAGGTGTGAGAATACTAAGGGGATCAAAGGTGAAAAACCATTGGGCTCATCTCTTATGGTAGAGATTTGGTTGCTGAACTGTGGGGGTGCAGAGGCTGCCAGATGTGAATGAAAAAAGGAAGGTGTTGGAATGGTGGATGGGGAAGAACCAGGTTTTGTCTTCTCGAAGGGTACAGAGGAAGCATGCAGAGATCCTTGCTACAACAATAAACCATAGATAAACTGGTAGAGGGAGGAGATAGGAAGAAAACTAAGTGGAGATCTATGAGAATTAGGAGGTGATGGAAATGAAACTGGAGACCCATCTGTGAGTTAAAAGTAGGGTAGTGTTTGGCAAGAGAGAAAATCTTCTTTTTGTTCTTCCTCATCAGAAAATTCTAACTCATCATGACTTGGAGAGGAAATGAGGGTGGAGGAAAAAAGATAGCTCTGAACAGGGTGATCTGAGCATGTACTAAGAAAAATGCACAAGAAGAGGAGAAGGGAGAAAAAAAAAAAAGCTTTTAGGTGCTTAGGCTGCGAAGAACGCAGTGTAAGAAAGGAGGGAGTTTCCCCAGAAAATAAATAATTAACTAAGCCATCCTGCAAAGTAACCTACTTTGGATTTGAAGTGATCATTTATCTGTGTGGCTAGGAGGAGCCACTGGCATTGCAGCAATTTAGCTGTACTCGGAAAGGGATGGAAGAAATCCTGAGGTCTGCATAGACAAGAAGGAGTTAATGCTTGTCGAGCATTATTCTTATACAAATTAAGTCCAGAGCGCAGCAGCAGCCTCACCAGCAGGAGCAGATGCTAGGCAGTGATGCAACCTGTGTTATTTACTTAGGCCTCTGTAGTGACCTCAGTGGCTTGCAGACAAAGGATACACAGATCTGGAGGTAGGTAACACATTGATAGATTCTTTATTTAGTCTTTTTTTATTCTATTGGAAATCAGCTCCTGTAAACATTTTAAGTGGAGCAACAGGGGGACAGCTTATTTTTAGCATTGTTTAAGAAGGTAAAAAATAAAATAAAATAAAAAAAATATATTAAAAAGCCCTGAAAGAACTGATTCAGTTTGGTTTCTCTGTTTTTGTATTATTATAACCAGGAACGTTTAGAAGCCATGATGCGTCGGTCCCTTGAACGCAGCCAGCAGCTGGAACAGAAACAGAAGCGATGGTCGTGGGGAGGAGCACTGGCTGCAGGCTCAGGAGGGAGAGATGGTGAGTGAAAGAGGCTGCCTGCATTGCAGATCCTGAAGTGCAAAATGCGTGAGGTTGTGGAGATAGTGAGGATGGTGCGTTCTGTAGTTAGTGTGGTACTGCAGGGGCTGCTGCCTTGGGGTGTGAAGAGATGCGAGATGCTTTGTAATTGCTTGCTAGGCTTCCTCTCTCTAACACTTTCTGGGAAGAAAGGTCACTCCTAACTTCAGGAATGCAGATCGTTTTAATCAGATTCTGCTTTGAGGATGACAGATGCTAAAATCAAAATTTGTGCTCTTTCTCCCTTACTTTCTTCCCCCGCATTGTCTTCCCACGCACATGGTTGGCAAATTTAATGCTCACCAAAGGGCTAAGTGCTGGCCAAACCTTGAAAAGATGATCTGTTATTGTTTGGTACTTCTGAAAACCTGATGAGAATTTCTACATGGCTATGCAGCATCTGCAGTTTAAAATAGTTTTGAGGGGTTTTTTTTTTTCCTCCCATGTATTTTTTGCTGTTGTGCTTTTTGATTTGGCTTCAGTACAGATAATTTTTATTTCACAATCAGTCATGTACTGCTTTTATATTTCAAAAGTATGCATGTTTTCTGTTTTAAATCATGGAATTTACTTAAATTGGCCAGGTTTGAAAAAACTGTAGTCATAGGAAAATATATCTGTGGTTGGGTTGTGACAAACTACGACAGTTACTCTTTTTTAAACGGTATGTAAATATATTTAACTCTAAAATGACAAACTGTTTCACAGGAAATTAAATATATATATGATTAAAAAGAAAGGAGTCTTTCATGCACTGAGAAAGAAACCAGATTGTCTTTGTGATGCAGTTTGTGCTTGGTTCCACCTCCCCCAACTTATTCAGTAATTCTTTCACCTCTTTTTGCTCTGATCTCTCTGCTGTGTAGGTGAATCAGAAAATACCCCACCCCCTGTTCTAGGTTTAGCTGCCAACACCCTTCCTCCAGACCCTGTGACCTCTACTGCTCCTGCTGATTCCTTCAATGGTATTTCAGAGAATCACAGTACCATCGTGTCTTGTTTATAACTGTTCTAATCACTGTAGTTCATCATCACTGATTTCGTCCTTCCTAACCACTATTTTCTTATTATTTCAGTCTGATGCTCTGCAGCATTACCCTTAGTGATGTGGACCAAGTGTCTTTTTAATTTGCTTTTAATTTTGTCATGGTGGAGCAGTGCATGCCTCACATTCCACAGTAGAGGCATCGCATGATTTTCCCACTAACTGTAGACTTCTACAATACGGATTCTCATTTTTGTTAAATCAGTAGGCACTCTGTGTTTGTTTGTGTGTTTGCGTGTGTGTATAAATATATAACTGTTGAAATGTACATCTGCAGGCGCTGCTTAAAAAATCACTATGAGGAAAATATGTTAAGGAGATGGTATTTCATTAGAACAGCCCCTTTTTTCATATCAAGGGCCTTTGTCTGCAATATTTTGAAAACGAGCAAGCTTAGTATAAGCAGCAGTGCTGTGTTTTCAGCCTTTTGCAAGCTGGTATTAGTAACCAACTCAAATAGTTGACTTTGTGTATAGGCATTCATGTTTTGTTTTGTGTTTTTCATTTCGTTGTTATTTATTTTTATTCTCCTAAAAAGACTGTGAAGTAGATGAGTATTACAGGGTTAAGAATGAATTGCACGTAGGATTTCTAGCTTTGACATCAAATGTACTTGGCATTTTAAAAACATAATGCAGCCTGTGCTTTAAGAAGTAGGATCCTCCTCTCCCAGGAGGAGAAGCTGGGCTTGGATATTCCTCCTGCAGAATGCGCCCTATTGGTTCTTGGGCCCATGCCCTTACAGAATTACTCTCTCTGTGCAGATTGTGCACAAGCAACAATTAGTACAGACATTTCAAAGAGATTTGGGTTTGCATCTGATGCAAGCATAGTGGCATTGTACCCGTACTTTAAGAAAGGGAATGTAGAGAATTGTATTGCTTACTGTAGTAGGTGGAGGCAAATCCTGCAGACCCCACTGAGGTGAGGTTTTTGTGGGTGTCATAGTGAATGAAGTGGCTTAGGGGCTGCAGGTGTGGAGCCACATATATGACTTTAGTTGAATGTATTTTTGTGTCTGAAAAAAACAGAATTCAAATTCAAAGGGCAAAGCCTCGTCTTTTCTGTGTTTCTGAGCATCATGCAGTGTTCATCATAGAGCAGTGCACTGTAGTAATAGTTGAATAACATTTTTGATGTCATTCTGTTGAGTAAATGGCAAGGTAGGAAATGGGAATTGTGCTCAAACATGCTGTCAAACAGTATTTTAGAATAAATAACGGGGGAAAAAAAAGTAATTGAGGTGGCACCAAAGATCTGCCTTTTTTTTTTTTTTTTCTTCTCATCAAGTGCAAAAGCCTAACCAGTCACCAAAAGAGTGAGAGAATTCTCTTGTGTGAATGCACCAATGTTAATTATTTCATTTCTGCATTAGAGTAATACCTGAAGTCTACCCCAGCTTTTCCAGACTGAAAGTAGGCAGCGGGTAGAGGAGGGAAAGTGAGGATCAGAGCCCCCATGTATGCAGTTTGGCATTATAGGTAACTTTCTGCTTGTGCTGTTATTCTGTTGGAACGGCTTCGTTCAGCAGGCATGATACTCAGTTATTTGCCTGTGGCACTGTAAAACACAGGCAGTTGTATAACTGAAATGTAAAATTCACAAGCAGAAAAGTCACATTCCAAAGTGTGTCCCAAATGGTCCTTTGGCAGTCGGAACACGTGTACGTCAGGCCTTGCTCATTCAGCGCTGTGATCAGCAGCAAGGCCGCGAGTACAAATGCAAGGTTAATTTTTGGGAGTTGATAATCAACACTGTGATCCGAATACAAATATCTTCAATGCGTCTCTCTGCAGCATGTGACAAACTTTCAGCTTCTACAATGAACCTGCCAAAGCAAATGGAATCGCCAATCAGTAAGCGCCTCTCCTCCTCCACAGCGGCAATAACACATTCCCCCGACAGAGGCAAGTGAACATGCTGGTCTCCTGCCAGCATAAACTCTCCTTCTGCTTAAAGCAATTCTCTGCAACTATCTGTGCAACTCTCTTATGTCTATTATTCAAAAGACATCAAACATTTAGGGGTTGTATGTTGAATTATTAATCTGAAATACAATCAAATTGTTGAGTAGTCTGTCCCAGGGCTGTGCTGCCTCACTGGAGAGCCTAGGTCAACACTGGGGGGTTTTTTACTCTAGCAAACAGGACTGTGCTTGCTGTAACTGCAGCGTTTCCCATAATAGTACAGCTTGTCATCTTCCTAGCAATGCAGACATTTCTGGACAGTAGGTATGGGCTGCACCATTGGCAGCAGTACATCTGTGAGCCTCTTGGGAGACCTCGATCTGGTGACCAGAGCCCTTTAATTTGATTTGAAACCCTGATGCTGAGAGGCTCAACGAAAGATGATTGTCTTGCAGGATTAGTGGTTACTGAACACTATTGAGAGAGCTGGGGAATTTATCCCACTGTGAACTCTTATGGACTTTGCTGATTTGTTTTATTTGTGTTTTTTTTCCACCACCTTCTTAACTGAGAAAAAAATACTGACTGAAGGAAATGACAGTAAAGGCTCATTTCTAAACTGAAGAGAAAGTAAAATTGATTTCCTCTCTGAGCTACTTACTGAAAACTCATCAATAGCTTTGAGATTATTGCAATTGGTGGCTTTATTCACATGCAATAAGAACATCTATAGATATCTTATATAATTGATGCTTTTTTTCTTCTTCTTCTGTGGAGTAGAAAGGAATGCAGGCATATTGTGTAAGGTTTATATAATGCAGTGAGACTGCACATTTTAAATGTATTCCAGCATGGTTTGCACACTGGTGAGTAGCTGTGCTGTTAGACCAAACGTTTCACCTTTTCTGTCAAGGTAAAAAAGCAAACATTTCTCATGCTGAGTCATGAAAGCCATCATTTTGCAGAATGGAATATTCTATTTTTAAGAACAAAATGCAGCGTAGGCTTAACCGTACTATATTTACTGTACAGGTGGAAAACTAATTTAAAGTGATGAAGGAACCAGAAACCATTTTTCAAAGGGAATGATGATTATCTGAAAATACTTAAAATCTCTTTCATTTCATTTAATCATTCCATTATTTTGTTTCTGTTATTTTAACATGAAGTTTTGTTATGTTGCATTTTAAATTTTATTTTTATTTGCTCCCATCCTTCAGCTCACCGCATGCATCTTAGTCCAATGGAAAACTTTATTTCTCGACTGCTGACTCCCACACAGTCATCTTTAGCCAGAAGCAGAAGTACCTTAATGCTTTCTGAGCAGTACAATAATCCAGGTAAAAATGTGAATTACTCACTTTGAAACCATTAAGGTATGTTTTTGATTGCATTTGAGTAGCTACTTAAAGAAATGGAGTTCTGTGAATCAAATGACAATTGATATGGTAGCATAAAATAGACTATTTTTGATAGCAGTGTATTGAAAAAGCACATCATCTTATCTTTCTTGTTCTGAATGTTTCCTAATAAGGATAACATAGAAACATAGTGGTTATTCAAATTTAAAATAATAATTAAAAAAAGAAATGATTTAATAAATCCCACTGGTTTCAGTTTCAGTGATATGCTGAAAACTGAATATGCTCATTTTGAAACTCGTTTTGAGCAGCGTAGGGCACTTCTCAGAGCAAAACACAAGAATTTCACTGACATGCATTGATTTTTTTTTTTCAGACAAAAGTGGTTAGACTGCACAAAACTGATCATCTTGATGACCACTATTTTTGTGTGTCATGATTGCAGTAGACTCAGGTCCTGCATCTGTGCTTTCACTGCAAGGCCTTTTAAAAATGGATTAGGCAGTAAGCATGCTTTTCTTTACACAGTGTTCTTCGTTGCAGTGTGTAGGGACATTGTTATGGAGCCACTCTGAAATGACTTCCCTTGTAGGTGCAGGAAGCAGAAATGTTGCCGTACAGTGCTTTGCCTATGAGAAAATTCTCAGGTTACTTATTGTTCAGGGAGCAGCTGCTGCTACAACTGAGTAAAACTCAGTTCAAATCTAGATCGATATATTTTGTTGAAAACATTGAGGTGAATTGCCAGGACCACCTACAGATGTTGCTTTCTGTGTTGTTTTTGATTGATGTTGAAGAAATCAATAGGGACTTTCTTTGTCCTTCCCTGGTCATCTTGCCTGTAAACTCCCAGCCTTATCTCCCTCTTCATCACAGAGTCTTTAAAGTAGCCTGCTGCCATGTCTAACAGGGATGCCATTTGGCCTACAGGTCGACTTTTCCCTAAGTGAAATTGGAGTGACAATTGATTGTTTTGTCAGTAGTTGTCAGCAAAAAAGGTTGAGGGAGGATTTCTTCCTTGATGTGTACTTCTTTCAGTAGAAGCAGTGTTCTGAACATGGAAGAGGATCCTCCCTTTTCATAATCATGTAGTGTGCTCTTGTGATTGTATTTGGGCCAAAATTGCTCCGTTCCTGCATGTTCTGTAGGTTTAGAAATGAGGATCCTAGCTTTCATGACTCTTCAAGGCAATATGTTATTAATATAACTTTAAGTCAAGACATTCAGATAAACCTGAATTAGGAGAGTTCAATAAAAACTATTTTTCTTATGGTTGAAATAGAGCTACCTTAAGCAACAATCAAGTTACTGAACATTTTTCTCAAATGGAGCAAACTTGCCAAATTGCAAGAAGGTCATTCAGAGGAAAACATGGGTCCAGTTCAACTTGAAAGCATGTAAAAATTGAATCTTAAGAGATTTTACAGCACTGCCCCCAACTTAAAAAAAAAAAAAAAAAAAAAAATTTATTTCCTTTCAATTTATTTATAATTAATATTTTTCCAAAGTCAGTATCCTTCTTGACTTACTTTGAAATAGGACTGTAAACACTGCCGCACAATTACAATTTCTGTGTATCTCATTAATGAAGCACATGTTCTGTTGATGGTTCTATGTGTTTGTGAAAGTTTCATCTTAGCAATATGAACAACATCAACAAAAAAAAAACAGGAGTAAAATATCCCTTTTTTTTTTTTTTAAATCCTGTTCATATTGCAAATAAAAAATAAAAAAAGAAAACAACAACCAGAAAGTGTTGCCCTGCAAAGTATATTTACCCCTAATGGTAATAACTGAAATACCTACAGCAGCATTTAGTTTAGGGTTTCTTCAAGAATTGGAGTTATTACTTTAAAAAGCAACTGAGATACTTAGAAGCCTTTGCCATGTTTAAGCTTTTTTAAAAAACAAACAAAATCAATTCTTGTGCTCCTGTTACCCTTCCAGTTTCACAGTATTTGTTCAGAAGTTATCCAGCTGGAATTATCTGATTACTCTTTCTGTCATATGCAAAGGAGCTGAGAGTTTTCAGAAGAGAAAAGAATTGCAGTCATAGTCAAGTGATTCAAAAAGTGTATGGATAAGAAAACGATTATTAGAGATGATCAAAAACCAAACAACAAAACAACTCTGTGCAATGTTACCTTCAGTTGAGGCATTTTTAGTGAATATGGTGATGAATGTATTCCACAATGTGATCTTTTTTGAAAATTGGAAAACTTGAAAATGACCTTTGAACATTTTGATGTAAAAGTATGCTGTTTTCTCCTCTCCCTTGCTTCCTCTGTCTCCCTTTTGCTCTTGCTATTGTGCTATAACTCTTTAGTATTCCATATCTGTCCTCGTGTAGCACCAGCTAGTCCTCTAAAATCTCCCTACAAGCCTTCCCCCACCCGAAGCGCAGACAGGAAGAAGGCGACTTCACCCTCCACTTCTGATGCCGGGAAAGGGGCGGCTGCAGGTGAAGTCACTCAGGTCAGTTTGGAACATTCTTGGTTTTACTTCTGGATAAATTGATGGGACTTCTTGTCGTTACCTTTCACTTTGCGTCGCTTTATTTCTACGAGTATCCTTTTTGTAAGAAACAGTAAGAAAGTAAGACTTGCATGCATCTGTTGCTTTTCTGCTCTGGCGTTCCAACATTTCAGTATCTTCCTCCTGCTGGAAGTCAGCGTTAAGCAAGGGTATTTAGAACAGCAACACCTTTATTTTCAGGGAACTGAGAAGTGCATGCTTCTGGGCTCGCCTATAACTTCTGGGAGTGGGGGATGACAAACAAAATATTTCTGTATAAGTCAGTCCAGTTTTGCTGGTTAATTAGGAGGCTTTGCATATTTTGGAAACTTGCCAAAATTACTGGCAGTGCCTCTTCTCTATACAAATTGCTTAACTCCCTCTGTAGACATTTTAGATGCTGTTTGCGTAAAAGTCATGTCGTTGATTCACTGTAGTTCCCCGAAAAAGTAAAGGCAAGTCGTTCCCCTTCACTCAGTCTACACAATGAAAGATAAGCTATAGAAAACTTATGTTAGAGCTGTGAAATAGTGTTTTATAAGATCCTGTATTTTCCAGTAGTTAATACTAAGAGTAGGGGGTTTTGTGCCATCTGAATTGAATGCAAGTGAGAGGACCAGAGCTAGGAGCTGAAGTTTTGCATGATTCATGCTGTTACACCTGGCAGCATTTATGGGAGATGCGTGCTTGCACTATTGGCTGTATCTGAGAGGCTGTGCACTAACATCTAAGTGATTTTGATTACTCCACCCAATACTCTTCTCAGCTCTCCACCAAGAAATCTTGGAGAGGAATGCACTGATATGACTTTACTTACTTACTCCTTGTTTACTATGTCGATGCAAGATGTGACCTATTTTTAATCTGTTTGGAAAAAATGCTCCTAACTTGTGAGCTGCTGTTAAAAAAATTGCTGAGAATGTATGCTACGTGGATTTGTTCTTATGTCATTTTGTTACTACAATTATCAAATACATTTTGAAGTATTGCTCCTAATTACATAAACTAAAATAATTGGTGTTTCTAGACTGAGAAAATAAAGAAAGAGAAGCGACCCACCACACCTGGTTCATCATCTGGAATGGGATCTCCTCTCAGAAGGTCTGATTCTCCTGCTGCTATGTCCAGAAGATCTGCCTCACCTGCCACACCTAAGTATGCCTTTCTGATCAGTGATCTGATATGCTTTGAGCTTCTTTTTATCTACAAAGAATGCGTAAACTCCTGAAGAATTTCCTTGGTAGGGTTGTATAAAATCCAGTTAATTTTTGTTACACACAGAGAAAGAGAGGAACAGATGAACAGATACACATGAATTTGTGTTAAAGGTTTCTGGAGATATTCAGTGTTTTCTCATCCTTCTGAAATTATTGCTGCGCAATTCAGTTACCGTGAAATTTTATTCAAAATTTGTTTTTTAAGCATGCATTTGTTTTATTAGATTTTGAACAAATGCACAAAACATTAATACTAACTAGAAATTTTAGTGTTTAAAATATGCCTTTGCTGGCATTACTACTTATATCCATCAGTAAACTTGTGATGCACTGGAACAGGTTGCACAGAGAGGTTGTGGATGCCCCATCACTGGAGGTATTCAGAGCCAGGCTGGATGTGGCTCTGGCAGCCTGGTCTGGTGGTTGGCGACCCTGCACATAGCAGGGGGGTTGAAACTGGATGATCATTGTGGTCCTTTTCAACCCAGGCCATTCTGTGATTCTAGATCTAAACCATTGGTTTTAGTCTTTGTTCATTTACAGACCTCCTTTACCCACCCCACCCCATGCAGGATTGTGGACCTATGGCGTAGTTGACCTTACTTGCCTTACTGAGTTGCTTTTCTCAGTCCTCACTTGCAAATAGTCAGAACTGTACTGTGTGTGCCATGGTTTCCAACTCGCAGGTCTAAACAAATGCTTCTTCAGCTTTCTTAGAACAAGATATGAAGTCTGACTCAAGCACTTCAGTTCTGTTCTACTCGTTGTCTACAGTAGTTGTCTGTGGTTTCTTTTTCTAGACCCTGTTCATGGGTCCTATGTTGAAAATATCTCCTTTGGCTGGTTATAAATATTATTTTCTATTTGAACCTGGTTATATTCCGAACCATTCTGATCTTTCTGATAAACTTCTTCAAAAGTCAGCCTAGTGTTCCTTCTTTGCCTTAGTTCTGTGTGCACAGTCATTTAATGGAGAAGTGATTTTGTGTGCAATTCTGGTGTGAGGCAAAATGTGGGAAATAATCTAACTCAGGGCATCCTTTCTGTTTTAGGCATCCCCTTGTGTGCAACTGTGAAATGGCAATTCTTGATTCATGTTATGGGCCACAAGTGTACAAACTTTCAATATTACATCTAGTAATATTCATCACATTTGAACTGTGTAACTTTTGTAAATAATGTAGCGATATGGAATAATAATCACAGTCAGCTTTGTCATTAAAATTTGAGCAGGTCATTATAAAACAGGCTCTCCAAAATGTACAGAGAAAAGTTCAAGCAATACAGATGTGTATTATTCTGTAAGTTGCTGATATTCCCTGTTCAGAATGCATTTTTCAGTTTAGTCAACCAGCATAAAAGACATAGCAAGAAACAGGTATAATTAAAACAAAATGATTGGTGGGAAGTGGGCTACTGAGCGTGAAGCAGTGGGCAGTCACTGAAAATGTTGGCACGGCTTGTTCTAGAGATGTCCTCATCCTGACAGGAGGATAAGTGGTCAAATAACCAAACAGATGCTTAGTGCTCAGTGAAAAAGGCATGGCTACTCTTAATTTATAGAACTAATTTCCTTAGAAGGTTAGGCAAAGATTTAGTGTTTTGTTGTTTTTTTTTTTTTTCCCACCAGACAGGCAAATTGGCAAATTCTGAGAATCTTCTTTATAGGAAAATGTTTTCATGCATGTAAGGAATACAGAACTCTGCTTTTTAGAGGAAGAAGCAGGTGCTGCATGGAGGAATTAGGATGCTTGCTATGGGTTTCTCTGTGACTGTAAGCTGGAAAGTTATCCCTTTTTTCCCTCCCTCTCCTCCTTAAGAAAACAATATTCTGACCACTGCTACAAATGTATTACTGAGAATTTAATCTTAACATGGCCCAATTAGAACACTCTCTTTGACCTTATGAGAGTTACAGCAAATACAGTTTAAATCCACGTTAGGTACTGATTGCAGAACGGCACTTCTGCTATAGCACTCTTCAAATTTCCCACAGAAGTTAAAAAAAAAAATCCAAATGCATCCTGATCATCATACCTGCATATTATATAGAGATGATGATCTGGTTGGATGATGGATTTAGATGTAGGAACCTTCTTTTAGATTGTATCACCTTAGCTTCTCCTTTAAAATTAACCGTGGGGCTAAAGAATAATTGTAACGCAATTTAGTATATAGATAAAATATTCATTCTCTTTGCAAACCTGACAGTCTTTTCCAAGTTTAATCTTTCTCCATCCAGCACCTTGTATGGCCAACAATTACACGTGGAAGGAATAAGAATATGTATTCAACAGCATCAGTAGTTAGTGATCCTAGGAGCGTAGCACCTTGTTTTGGAAGCTGTTGAGTAAAGAATCAAGCTTGGGCTGATTTAGGTGGTAGTTAGCTGTATGCATTTTTCTTCTTAAAAATGTATGGCTTGACATTCCTGTTTGCTTGGTATTGTTGTAATTGTTAGTTATTTTCAGTCATCATCCTGGTTTGTGAGTGGTAGCTGCATGTCTTCTTTCTATCTTGTTTTGTTGTTTATTAATTAGAAAGCTTTCTTTGTCGTGGTGGAGTGATTGAAACAGGCTCAGACGAGGCTATAAAGCTGTAACCTAAGCAGAGACAGTGACTGATGGCAGGCTAGATTTGCAATAAGTACATAAATAAAGATGTTTGTAAAGGTACAAATTTCAGTGAGAAAGAAGGAGAGGAAATTAAAAAATACATATACATAAAAATGTGCAAATTGTAATATCCAAGAAAAACGTGTAAGCAAATGCTCACCTGAGAAGGAGAGAGAAAGAAATATGTTTGATAAGGAGTATGAATACTTATAAGCCAAGGGAGAAATTGAAATGATGGCAAAACCTAAGTATATTGTCAGGAAATGCCACACAAAAAAGAAAAAGTGAAAGTATTGCTTTGAATGCAGTATAGATCAGTTGACTGTGGTGGCTGTTAGCGGGTTGGAGCTGGGAAGATAGGGAATGTTCTTTAATTTAAAAATTAAACAAATTGCAAACAGTTGCTGTTGGATACTGGTGGTGTAAAATGCTTCTGTTCTTCAGAGCTTTTACTTAGTCAATAATACCAGGATTTTGTGTGGTTTTTTCTCCTGATTGTTTCACCTTCAAAGATCCATACACTAATCAGTTTATTTTTGCAGCATCCCTCAGAGGGTTAGGTAAGTGTCCTATCTTATAGATTGGCAAAGCAATAAAGCCTGTGTCCTTCACGTGTCTTTGGGTAAATAGTCCCTTTGAAATCAATGGAACTTGACTGAATCAAAGAAATAGAGTTTAGTTTTAAGTGCCTTCAGATAAGTGAATAAAAATGGAAAGCTCTGACGAGACTCTACAGTAGGTTATTTTGCTGACCCATTATCTCACTTACGTGTGGAGAAAAAAGGAGAGGGGGAAGGGAGATGGGAATGCAGCTCTGCTCCTACTCATTTGTTTCCAGCTCCCAGTTTGTGCCACACTGCTTTGCTGACAGTTGCACTAACTGAACTTGCAACTTGGTTCTTTTGGGCAGTGTTCCACTGCAGCCAATGGGACATTGCTTTGTCTTCAAAATACGTGTGAGCAATCAAATTACAGAATAGTGATTAAATATGTATGTATGGTAGAATGTCCAGATCTTAAAGAGTTTAAAAAATGGCCTATTGGAAAGATGTGTATCATGTGTATCTCACAGAGTAGCTTTTATGCCCGCCTCTAACCCATCTTTAATTTTTTTATTTGATACCTACTGCATTTGTTTTTCTCAGTCTTTGTTCTGCATTGGAAAGATAACAGTGATAAAGTGTTGAATTATTCTGAGTTCTTCATCAGCTGATTTACAGGATGGGCCAACTGGAGGTTTTGAAAACATTGGTAGTAATGCAGCTATGAAAGAAAATAGCAATATTCAATAGACCTGTTCTGAGTTTGTGCTCTAAGGAAACTGAAAGAGAAATGAATCTGTCCCTGGCTAGAAAAGATGAAAACTGAGAGTAAAATAAATGCTTTTGAGAAAATATCACAGATAAAAGAGCGAAAATGTCAGAATCCTGGAATGGCATTTTGATCAGAGCAATCTCAGCAAGTTTGAGAACATGGAAGTCCTCAGTATGGTTCCAGCAGAACTTTTGTCAATTAATAGGCAGATTTGGGGTAAGGAGGGGAGGAAATGCAGCGTTGCATTGCTGCTTATCTCTTATTTAAAGTTAGCCTGCTTAGGTGCTGTAAACGATGACCGGTCGTGTACCAGGCTTTTGAAGAAAGCATGCTGATCTTGCTGCTTATGGACAAAAGTGGATGTGACCTCTGACTCGTTCTGTACTCCATGTACTTTACTTTGTGTGCTTAGCTAAAGTAAGGTCTGAACTCCTCTTCTGCTATTCCTAAGACGTTCTTCTGCTGTATGGGCTACTGCTGCCTCTCTTTAATTGAAAAAAAAAGCCATTGTAATTTAAGCACCAGTGAATCCTTAGACCCGATAGAGATTTGTGCAGTGTGTTTAGGGGTCATGATGTGAATGGCTCCTTACCAGCTGCTGCCATCAGCACGGGGATGAGAGGAGAAAGCTGAGACTTCTTGCTGGGAGGCAGAGGCTTCCTGTGCTTCTGCATCTGCCTGTGAAATCTGGTGACCGAAAGGAGCTAACTTTCAGACAGCTGATGTGCTGTCACTTTTTGGATTTTGAGGAGTCTCCTTTAATTAATTAATCTTCATCATGTATGCTTCCTGTATTCCTGTTGCGTATAATTGCATCCCATTCCTTTTATCCATAGGCAAAACTACTTTAAAAATCTATCTAGATCCCCGTACAAGCATGTGTCTATTTGCCTTAAAGTCAGGTTTGTCTCTTCTGATAAAAAGTAGCATCAATCTGAATACCAGTAGAATGAAAGCTTCTTCCAGTAGCAATTCTACCCGTGTTCAGGAATGTTAAAGATGCTAAGTTGGCAATACGTTTAAATACAAGGGAGAAAGACAGTGCTCGTTTAATAATTTTTACTCGACACTGAGTAAATGGTATAAAATTTCTGAAGGAAAAAAGATTTTTATTCCTAATGAGCATTCTCTGCTTTTAACTCCTCATGCTTCACTGCTGCTGTCCTTGTAGTAAATTGACTTTAAATGCTTCTCCCTTTTAGTTGCTTTAAAATGAGTAAAGTCATACTTGTTCTTATTGCCAAAGAGCCGTAGGAAAAAAATCTTGTAGGTCTTAAATTTCAAAGGTATTTTACTCAGTGCATCTAGCACCTTTCTTGTCCACAAGCAAGTTGTACAATGCTCTAATTCCTATGCAGTCCAGGATTCATAGCTGTCATGGCTAGATTCCTTCCTACCAGCTTCTTTAATTTGATTGTTGCGTCTTTATTAGAGAACAATTATGTCTGTGTTACTACTGAAAATGAGTCAGCCTTGGTTATGACTATTTTGCTCTTCCTGTCACAGCAAGTTAAGTAAAAAGCAACGTAGGAAATATGTGGTAAAGTCAGGAATGTGAAAGGGCCACAAGAAGGAACTATGCTTTGAGAACCTGTCCGATTGGCAAGAAGTATTCTTTGTGCCTGGAGAAGGATGAAAAAAGCTGTTGCTTTCTGTTTACATGTCACATTTTTATGAAAGGAAATTATATGATGGTGAAGCACACATGTGAGACCTATATGTATGCATATAGGTAGGGACTGTGAAAGCTGTGCCTCTGTGTTTAGAAGGGCTTGGGAATCCATCTGTATCCCAAAGAGAAAACTAAAGACAGGCTAGACTAACACCACCCGGTGTTACCAACTTCTCTCACCGTCAGCGAAGCCTTCACAGTATTCAGGATGAAGGACAAATCAGGAGCTCCCGATCACTGGGATGCAAGGCAGAGGTGTACCTACAGCTTAGCCAGGGGAGGAGCAGTGTCAACAACCTGAGTTTACAGGGAGTCCCTGGGCCTGAGGGCAGAGGATACCTGAGCTGAACTTCATATTTAATTGAGTGCTGCTGTTCTGCCAGGCCACGGGCTCTGCACAGGAGCAAGAGAGTACAGGCGGTGCAGTGCTCTGCAGACTTTCCTTCTTCACAAATTGGGCACCTTTAAATGAGCGCCCTATATTCTGTTATCTCAGTGTCTTTTAATATGGTGGAAAAGAACCCTTTATTTTTCTGAGCTCATGAATTAAGAGAGAGTTGAAAGACTTGGGATTTTTATTGTCTGGTCTGTAATGCAAGTCATGTTCCAGTTATAATAGTCTCTGTCCTCACAATACTATAATCTTAAACAAATCTTTGCACACTCATCCATTAATTTTCAACCATTGTCCATACTTCTCATGTGTGTGGTCTACCAGAGTGTGTGTACAGTCCAGAAAATATGCTATAGTATCTGAAACTGTGTGTTGTGCAGATTAAAAAAGTGATAAGGAATAACACATAATTACATATTCATAAGGAAGGTTAGAACCGCTTGTGTAATGCTCTCCTTAATGTAGGATTGTGTCTTCTAATGAGACTCACATAAATCACTTTTTTCAGATCGTAATCTCTTTAACCTCCATAATATTAAGCCGTGCAGCCCAGCTCTTCTAAATATTAGAAGTATTTAGTTCTTGTTACCAGTATTATATAAATATTTAACGGTGTTTGCGTGTGGTTTTTTGTTTCCTTGTAATCTCTTATTCACTGAAAATATTTGCACGTTACCAACTGTTCTTACCCTTTCACTGTGCCAAAACTGATTTCAGGGTTGTCACTCGATCTAAAGTACGCAGAGCCAAATGAGGTATCAGTAGCATTGCTGTTGTGCCCTGCCATCACCACTAGTGCAGCTTTGAGCCTCGAGCCTGCTGTTCTGGTGCAGATGAAAGCACCAACTGAACCAGTGGAGTGGACTGTGGAATGGCTTGGTTGGTTCTGTCTCTTGTAGTGCTTGGCGTTACCTTGTTATGTGGTAATAATTGGTCACAGTTTTGTTTTAAATGTTGAGATGGGCAGAGTAGAGAATGGCTATGGAATGGCTGTTATGAAAACAATTGTTTTTTTAGGTTGTCCATGACTACTTTCATACAACTTGGATGATATTATTGGTCTTATTGAGTCAGTAATCATTTGAACCATTTGAACTTGCTTGCCAATTCCCTGCATTTCAGATTCTGATTGCTTACATCACAGTAGATTCTATACAGCAGTGTACAAAAAAAACTGATACTCAAATATAGTCAGACCCAAGGAGGAAGAATGATATTTGTAAAGATGGAAATTGATTCCATGTTGTACTATGTATAAACTGTACTCAATTTTTTTCTTTTTTTCTCCTCAGGACAGTTGCGAAGACTTATCCTCAGTCTCCTAAAAATGCCAAACAATATCCAGCTTCTCCTGTGAAGCATCGTGCCACTTCTAATCTCAACCAGGAAACTCCTAAAAAGAAAGCAGATAAGGAGAAAGAAAACGTCAGTCATCAGAAATCCCCAGGAGCACGCACTGAAGAAGCAGGCCAGGTGGCTTCTGAAAAGCATGTGCCTGCTGCAGGAAAGCCAGAAAGTAGTGAAGGTGAGCTTTTGTAAGAGAACACATTAAGAAGTATTGTGGGCCCGTGAGGATTTCAAACAGCGATGAACTGTTTTTGTGAATCTCCTTGGCCATGGATTTATGAGAATGTGTGAAAGTACACAGCGGAAGCAGCTATGTATGGTTTTTACCTGGGTTATCAGTGAAAAATGTCAGTTAATGAGAATTTGAAAATGTTGAAATGCAGGGATGCCCTCACCTATGCGGTGTTCTGTCTGCTGAAAATGCTGATATATGCATTTGAGAAGTGGAAGTGACATAACAGCATGAACCAGGCTCATTGTAGCCACTGTGCCAGTGAGTAAGCACTGGAAACTTTCACAGCTTCTTCTCCAACGTTCCATCCTTGGTCATCTTCTCTTAGGAAAGATCACAGCAGGAACAACTGATGCAGAAGAAGCTTCAAAAATTCTAGCTGAAAAAAGACGACAGGCCCGCCTCCAAAAGGAACAAGAGGAGAGGGAGAGACAGGAGCGAGAAGAACAGGAGAGGTATCTCCATTGATTCATGAAAGTTATTAGCTAACAATATAACCTGTATCACTGAAGAAGTTTCAAAATGGCATTTTTAGAATCAGTACAAGAGCTTACATTTAAATGTTAATTTATTTGTATTTGTAATTCATTAGTGTCATTGGCAGTCCTTATGACTAGGGAAGTTTGAAAATAATAATTGTGCCCCTTCAAGAAGCCTGAAGAAACTATAACCCAGCCAAAGAGTTAGGTATGCCCACTCTGCAGTTTGCATCACTTTGTAAAAGCGTATGAGGTAGTTTTAGTTTTACCAGTTCACATATAAGTACCAGCATATATGCCGTAAACTGCAAGACTTGTATTATTCAAAACATTGCCCTGAAGTTTTTGTCCCTGCCCAACCCTGTCACAGGCAGGTGAGGGCTTTAGGAGTGTGGGCACACTGAAAGTTGCTGTGTCTAAACAGTGAATTTCTGGCTCTGTTTCAGGAGCAAGCCTTTGGGTTGTTCTTCATATTCAGCACTAGTGGCATATGTAAACAGTTCATGGCTTCATTCCCTAATATTAAAGCACTGACTGTGCATGTCTAAATTGGGACTGTGTCTGTTCTTACTGAGAATGTGGGGGGAAAAAAATCAGAAGTGTCTGAAAGCTTAGCCTGATGGAAATACTTCCCACATCTGCAACTGCAACAATGATCAGTTGTCAAAACAGCTCTTGAATCTGACAGTGAATAAGCTGTCCCTGAATAGGCCTATGAACAGCACAGGTGGAATAGATAGACCCACTCTTTTGAGCACATTGCTGTGTTTTGTGGATTCTATTTGCTGCTACTTGTCCGATCTGTTTATCTTCAACTGAAAGGAAGCATAAAAGTATATCTTTGTTTATATATTCCAGTATTCTGGGAATTAAGTACAGAGGAAAAGCGATTTTTTAATTTTTTTATTGAAGCTTACAGACATTATTTATATCCTATTGGGGATCACATTGGAGATTTTTGTTTTGTTTTTGTTTTCTTAAGGAAAAGTATAATTTCTATGAGGTATTTTATACAATAAGGAAAACACTGGAATAAAACTTTAATATTAACCTGAATTCTGGGCATGTTCTCAACCTCTTAGTTATATTCTTGATATATTCATGAAAATGTGCACTGATGCATGATTACTTAATGCTCATTGTATATCATATGTACAGGAGGATTCATGCTAAACAAGATGAAACCTTTTAAACATACCAGTATTTTTTCTTTTTGCAGGCTTGAAAGAGAAGAACAGAAGAGAAAGGCAGAAGAAGAAAGACTTCGTCTTGAAGAAGAGGCTCGTAAGAAAGAGGAGGAAAGAAGACGTGAAGAAGAAGCAGCTAGGAAAAAGGCAGAAGAGGAAGCCAAGAGGAGAGCTGAGGAAGAACAAATGCTGAAAGAAAAGCAAGAAAAAGAGCTCCAAGCCAAACTTGAGAAACAGGTATCATTTCAAACACAAATGTGTATGTATACATACATTTACGTATACATATAAATAATTTATTCTATATAGTAATTAACCTGAAATAAATAATGGACTTATTGTATTTTATGCATTCTGATTAGAGGGAAGAAGCAGAAATCAAAGCCCGTGAGGCAGCTGAGCAACTTCGTCTTGAAAGGGAGCAAATCATGCAGCAAATTGAGCAAGAAAGACTGGAGCGGAAGAAGGTGGATATTTGTGTCTCATTTAAGATAATGATTTCATTTCTTGTTTAAATATATAACCCAGAGAGTACCTAGTAGTATCCAGAAATAATAATCTGAGGGGATTACAAACTGATATTTATGATTAATTTAGTATTTGCTTCTTGCAAGTTAGGGGGACATCTACATCAGCATTTGTAACAAAGTGGAACTGCCGAAGGCAAATGACTTTGTGCTAAGCAGTGAACAAACACAGCATTAGCATGCACCCACAAGGTTAAACGCCTAAGACAAATAGAGAATGGCACGGCAAGGCAAACTGCATTGCCACCCAACCCAGGACATCACAGGCTCTTGAGGAACATGAGTGACTTTGTTTTAAAACTTACTCAACAGAAGTCCAGCGTTTTTAATTTAGAAAGTTAATGAGATTAACAAACAGGTTTCCTCCCACCTGGTTTGTCTCTGGTTACACTGTGCAGAGGCAGCAGGGCTGTCTACCACAATTTTTGCACAAGGAAATGGCTGGAACTGCATAGCTTTACCTACAGCTCTGTGTCAAGAGAGAACAGCTGCAGAGCTGCTGAGCTTCTTTCTAGTTATAGAAGGTCCTTCCATATATGTTATTCTAATGTGTTATTTTTAACTGTTTACCACTAAGCTGGAAACATGTTGCTGTTGTAGATTGCAATACAGAAGCAAAATGTCTTTACATGTGAAATATTTCACAGTAGTGCAAAGAAGCAGAGCTTACTGGAAAAGCTTGTTGTTGCTGTTTTCTAATGAACAAAGAAGAAAAAGAAAGGATTTTAGGGTAACACTTTGCAGAATTCCAGCAAAGAGTGATTTCAGACAGTTCATTCTACTCCTCCATTCCAAAAAAGCCTGTTTTTCAAAGCAGCTGTTTGGAAATAGAAAAGGCAGCTAGATGAAAGTAATGACTGTTTTTGTTTTTTTGTTTTTGTTTTTTAATGTCTTGTTCCAAAGCTGAGCACAACTCAAAACTGCCAACGTCTTTTTAAAATGTTTGTCTGTAAATTGCATCTAGTGAGAAGGTCATGTTTTGTACCCTGATGCTGCAAGCCAGCTTCCAGCTGTTTTCTTCTCTTACGTTAATCTTTCTCATTTATTTTCCCTTTTCGAGGACAGGTGAGGATGAGGTTGTGACAAGATTTTTGTTGATTTTTTTTTTTTCTCCTTTATCAGTCCAGTGTTAAATGTTTTGCCTGCCTTCTCATCCTCCAATTTATTTCGATTTCTAGAGAATTGATGAAATAATGAAGAGAACAAGGAGGAGTGAAACTCCAGAAATAAAGGTATGAAATTGTGTGCGGTGTAGGATTTGTGTTGTCTTTACTTTAATAACTCACATGTGAAAATTAAACCTGAGCATTTTCCATTATCATAGGTGTACTTAGGTACTGTTTACACCCAGCAGTGTTTGCTGCTGTGATATCTCTGCTTTGTACCAGCCAAAGAACAAGGCAGTTATTTCCAGCTAGGAAGTGATGGACAGTTAAGATTTCACTTATAGTGTAAGTTTTCTATTAAAAAACTATTCCTTCAGTTACTTCCACAGACTGTTTTCTTTTTCAAGTTAAAATATAAATAATAATAATAAAAAATGCTCTGCCTAATATTAAATGAAAAAAAATCCTCCACTGCTGTTGATGAACTTTGACCACCCTGTGGCCCTGAGCAATGCCATACATTTTGAGCACAGTCGGTTCCATGAAGTTTACACTGCTTTGTCTAATACACTTGATTTGTTACTTGACTGCAGAAGGAAGAGCCAAAACTGGAGATACCATCAACTTTGAATGTGGAAAAGCAACCAAAAGCCCTTGTTCTTAACCAGCCAGGTAAAACTAACTATATTTTTCTTACCTGTTTTCATAACTAGTTCCTTTCAGAGTTTTCCTCAGATAGAGCACTGTGCTCTTCGGTTTTCTCTGAAAAAGATTAGCTAGGTTTGTGTCAGTCACAAATATTGGACCCTGGAGACTGAGTGAGAGTCTCAGTGAGAGACTTTGTTTTGCCACGTAAGCAGAAGAATGATTGTCCTCCATTTAGTACCTGACATAGCATTTCTATAAATGAGAAGTTCCAGTCTGCTAATTGGTTTGCCTGCCGCAACCTGCATTTGAGTTTTGTGGGCAGAATTTTCTTTGGCTCACAGTCAAGCTTGCAAGCTTTTTATAGCATTGTTCTAAATCTCACTTGATGAAAATAAGATTTAATTTGACTTGATGAAAGCAGCATATGTATTTTAAGCATGAGTTAAAAATATATATGTATCTGCAGCACTTGTCTATAGCTTGGTTACTTCCCCAGGTGTTAAGGCTTTTAGCACATGACAAAAAAGATGGTATATCTTCTTCCTGTTTCATTAAATTCAAAAGATGGAGCATAAAGCACAATTTTAGAGAGGAAAGGAGGATTTCAAGTATAATACAGTGAGTCAAAGATGAAACTGAGTCAGTCATTGTCAGTCTTCCTTTTTACTCTATAATTTAAAAGCATTTCTGATGTTTGAAAAATGATTAAATAAAGATATCACTACTGTCATAATTGCTATCCTATTTTTTATAGAGATCAATGGGCTGGCAACTTGCCTGAAAAGTAAAAGCTTAGAGAGTACTGCTTCTGTAGTACCTTCTCAAGATGTGGTTGCTAATGGACTGAAGTCAGTTCCAGGACTTGTTCAGCTGGAAGCTGTAGATGGGAAATCTAACAGCATGGAAGATTCAGCAGATGAGGTTCAGTCTATGGATGTGAGGTACTGTAACTACCAATAGAAATAGTGAAATTTATACTAGGGACATGAGCTTTCCCGTTTGGTTTGCTGGTATTTCTTCTCCCCAACCTCACAGTGTGGGGAATAATGTGGTGTCAGTGGTGGTACGTTCGAAATCTGTCAAGATGCAAAGCGGTTGTTTTGGACAAGAGCCTGAACTTCCTCTCACTTTCATGATTTAGGAGCAGGGGAACTTAAAAGTCTTCCTACTGTTCTTACTTACAGCTTCTATACAAATGTGTCCAAGCCTTTCAGATAATTCTTAAAATACAAAATACCATACTGTGTGAAAACAGCATCTGTAGATATTGTACAGATATAGCTACTGTATTGTTCAGATGCCACCATTTATTTTTTATTTGTCCCAAGGCTGCATTGCTACCATGCACAAGCTTTTCACACTTATCCCTACAGAATAAAGGAAATTAGGCTCTAAAAATTGTAAATGTTTAACTGGAATAAGTATGGATATCAGTAACATCCTATGTATTAAACACTGTTGCATTTTGGTGGAAGGATCTGTGGGTAAGAAGGAAATAGGTGATTTAAGGCTGCTATGGGAAAGTTAGCTCAGAATTTTAAGCATGGAATTTTTATACTATATTTCTTGAATTAACAAGCCAAATTAACTTATTAACTTCTCACAGTTTGTAAGTATTTCAGTAAAGATGTTATGTTATTTCAGTAAATATATTTCAGATTTATGTTATTTCAGTAAACATAAATACATGAGAAGGGCATTACCAGGACAGACCAAAAGTTCTTTTAGACCACTGTTCTGTTTTGAGCATCAATGGGAAAAAGTGGTTGGTGAGGGAACCTGAATTTAGTGCATTCCAAAACTACACAGAAGTATTTTGTTATGGATATTGGAAGGTGGAAGTCCACCTTGCTCTGACTAATATCTGCTGATTGACCTATTTTCCATGAGTTTATCTAACTCCTTTTTCAACCTGCTGATATTATTTGCTTCCACAACCTCATCTGACAGCAGATTCTACAGCTTAGCCCCCCTGAGGTCAATGATATTCTTTGATCTTTGTTAACTCCCATCTCTTACTAGTGTCACTGTGCATCACCAGTGTTCAGTGTTAATGGAGTTGATGCACAGAGTCCTGCTCTCACCATATGGTCATAGAAATTGTAGCAAAATTCTCCCTCTGACTTTTCTTCTCCAAACTGAAACATCCTTGTCTTTATAGTCTCTGCAAAGCATCAGCTGGTTGCAGTGCTTCTTAAATTCTGGATTTCTGTGGCTGAAGTACGTTATAAAGTATTAAGAAGTAGATTTTTATTTAAATTGTGAAATACAAGGGCTGTAGGTATATGATTGCAGGTTCAGAACAGTAATTTGTAAGGTGCAGTTACGTGTTTAGATAATGGAAAGGTGCAGATGCTGAGGGGAGTCAGTAAATTCAGTTCAGTAAACTATTAGAAATGTGGGCTTTAGGAGATGAATGTTCATGTCGCAGAGGAACCACAAATCTTAATTTTTAAGAAATATAGATTAAGTATGATCTTTCATCCTGAACAGAGTAATTTTTTTATTATTATTATTATTTGCTTGATTTGGGACATGTTCCAGGTAAAAAGCTCACTGCACTTAGCTCTAAGGTAGTATTTCTTGAATGGTCAGAAGATAAATTTGTTGGTTAATTAAAAATCTACACAGCTGTTATTCTGCATCTTCTTTTTATGTATCTTTTTATAGCCCTGTTTCAAAAGAAGAACTTATCTCCATCCCTGAATATTCACCCATGAATGAACTCATGCCTGGTGTTTCTTTCGACCAAAATGGGACAAGCAATGCCAAGGCTCTTGAAGATCTCTTGGATTTCACAGGCCCACCTACTTATTCCAAGACGTCCAGTGATACTATTAGCATTGATGACTGTAACAAAAACTTGATTGAGGGATTTAACAGTCCAGGACAGGAAAATACACTTAATTCAATCTGTTGACAGCCTTGCTTTTCGGCAGGACAGATAAAGGTACAGTAGTGCGATAAATATCTTTAGATGTGATAAATCGTGTGATTACTCATGAGCTTCCCAGAATAATCCAGCAGTTCTAAACAGCAGCTTTCTAATTCTTTTCACATATGATCTCTTAGATATTTAAATGTAGCATGACTTTTTACATTTACAGCTCTTTTTAAATGGCCATCATATCATAGAATCATGGAATGGCTCGGGTTGGAAGACACCTCAGAAGCCCCCCAGCCCCTGCTGTGGGCAGGGCTGCCCCCCACCAGCTCAGCTGCCCAGGTCCCCATCCAACCTGGCCTTGAGCGCCTCCAGGGATGGGGCACCACAGCTTCTATGGGCAGCTGTGCCAGCGCCTTGCTGCCTTTTGACGAAAGCATTTCTCCCTCATATCTAAGCTAAATTTTCCCTCTTTCAGTTTAAAGCCATTGCCCCTTGTTTTGTCACTATCTACCTGTGTAAAAAATCATTCTCCCTCCTGTTTTGTAAGTTCCCCTCAAGTACAGGAAGGCCTTGTTGCAGCCGTCTGATCTCCAGGCTGAACAAGGCCAACTCCCTCAGCTTTTCTTCATAGGAGAGGTGCTCTAGCCCTCTGATCATCCTTGTGGCCCTCCTCTGGACCCATTCCAACAGCTTTGCATTTTTTTTGTTTTGACGGCCCTGGACTTGGATGCAGTACTCCAGATGGGGCCTCACAAGGACAGAGTAGAGGGGGACAATCGCCTCCATCTCCCTGCTGCCACCCCTCTTTTTGGATACTGTTGGCCTTCTGGGCTGCAAGAGCACATTGCTGGATCATGCCCAGCTTTTTGTCCATCAGATCCCCCAAATTCTTCTCTGCAGGGCTGGTCTCAGAGAGTTCTTCTTTTATATGTGTTACTGAGCTACCAGTAATTGAATGTATCCGGTCAATTGAAACACTTTCTTCCTGTGCTCAGCTAGTAGTGAGCTGCTCATTTTCTTCAGTAGTAAAATACTGTTGCTATAAGTCTTTGGAGCACATTAACATAAAGAAAATGGCTAGAAGTGGAGCCAAACTATAAAATGGTGGTTATTGCAGCTGCTCACTCTCTTCTGCTGCTGTAGGAACTTGCAGCATAGTGTAGAAATGCTTCTGGAAAGCTGAGAAACAATATGATGGGGAGGAGTAGGGGGAAGGTAAGTAAGCTTCAATGATATTTTCAAAGTACGTTGCTGTAGTTGATTTTATTGTGTTTTCTAGACTACCAACTTGAGGTCATCTAACTTGCATAGCTGACTTGATTTTCTTCTCTTATTTTTTCAATTGACAGAGGTAGCAATCTGTGGAGGACGTATGTCTTTGTGACACTGCTGGCGGTAAAACATGAAATTGTCACTTGAAAAAGCTTCTGCAGTCCTGAACACTGGATTTCAAATAATCAGAGCTGAATAAAACTTTGTCTTCCCAGGGAATATGTTGACTAACTGGCTACTTTCGATGGAAAACAGTGATCTAGAACCTCGATGGTTTCAGGGAAGACTGAGTATGCATTAGAATTTGAGCTTGAGCTGCTAGCGAAGCACTTATTTTTTTTCTTTTAATTTAAAATACATCTGAACACTTCACTGTGATTTTCCTTGTGCATTTAATTTTAAGATCATTGCTCCTTAATTTTATCATGCATCCATTTAGCCATGTTTTTATTGTAAATAGCGATGAAGTTTGCCCACAGTGCACTGAAAAATACTACGCTGTACTTTGGTTCTGTGCCTATCTTCTTTTTTTTGTTTTTAATAAGGAATTATTGGCAACTTTGATGCAGGCATATAATTCAAAGCTATAGCTAAAAAGGCTTAAAACTGGATAATTACTGCGAGTGAAAGAACCTTCTTACTGACTGCGGAGTGTGGAGTTACCTTGTAATGGTGATGTTGACAGTTTTAGTCACTGGTGGCACTTACTGGTTAATATTAATAGTCCTGGAGTGATTATGAATTATGTGTTTAAAAACATACCTGTGTAACACCTGTAAACAATGCAGGCACAATGCCGAGTATAATCCCTAATATATTATAGTATAACTGTAGTAGATGCAAGTGAGTATGTCGGGGGGTCAGGTAACATGGTAACTTTGGAGATGCAGGCGCTTGGTTAATACCAGCAGGCTTTCTGTCATGTGCAGAAGTGTTTTGTCTTCCTTACAGGCTCAACAAAACAAGATACAGTCGGCAGCAAAATAATATATGAAAGTTGCAGCAGAAATACAAAGGCTGGGAGACACACAGCGAGCACTGCTAGCCTACTTAATATCCTATAAGCATCTGTATGGGAAAATCCACATCGAGCTGTATCATGTGTAGACATTACGTGCCATACGGTGTTAACTTCATTTCTGTTGGTAACCTACGATAACTATATGCTAGATGATGTGCTGCTTTGAGGACACTTTTCTCCAGTTCCTTATAAAAATAAATTACAAATACTGCTCTCTTTGGAAACTAACATCAAAAAAAGAAGTGAAAACTGGGCTTGTTTGGTTATTTTTCTTTTTACACATATGGGAGTTCCAAGTGTATCTTGAGCTCGGTTGTAGACCCGTTCTTGTGCTCCTTGAAGCCAGCAATGGGGAAGTAACCAATAGAATCACGTGCAATGTACAAAGAAAGCATTCCTACAGCAATCTGGCTGTTTATATTGGTGTACTTCAGAAAAGTAATTTCCTTTGACTGTGCAGTAAGCTGTAGCATGGTACCGTGTCTTCCAATTTAGTCCTACATTTATTTCTTAAATAAAAAAAACCAACAAAACCAAACTGTTTGTTTTGCTGTGGTGCATTGTGTTTGACAAATGTCACATGATATTTTATTATGGTGCCATTGTATAACATGTAGATTTCTTTATTTGCATGACCTGTATAGCATGTACAAAGGTGAAATACATTTTCATTTATGAATCTAACTGTTGTTTCTTAGCTTTTTTTACTCCTAGTAAGACAGATTTAAAAGCAGCTGTGTGTTAATTTATTCTGTGATGTCTTCTGAAGAAATGAGCGATAGTGAATGAAGGAGTGGTTTTCAGAGCCTTAAAATATTTCATGTTGCTTCCTTTGCCATGCGCTGATTTGCTTTCTGAGGTCTTGTTGATACGTAGGAGAAATGTACACCATCAGCAGAAAAGCTGTAAGCTGAGGGCTTCCAGTCAGTGGCATCCTAAATGCTATCGGTGCTTGCAGCCTCAGCGTCAGCTCTCTGGGCTATTATGTAGGAAGGCAAATGAGAAAGAGAACTTGGGATCCATGGCCATTGGATGCTGTTCTACTGAGTGTGTGAGGTCTGTTCTCTAAGGGTGTTTGTACATCGATGTTCTCTTCAAGCTAAATGCACATACCAGTATTCAGAAAGTAACTTGCTTAGAGCTGCTATTTATAGTCTACTGAAATGTTGGGAAAAACCTTCGGCAAATACCTTTTTTTAAAATCATAACTTTGAAAATTAAAAATTATATCAAGACTGTTTTTATTTTTGAAGTATATGAATATTTTCCATTATAACAGTTCATCGTGCTCTTATGAGCTCTGAAATCACTGATGTGACCTGTCCACTCAACTATTTACTAAGCTTAAAGGGAAGGAGGTAAGTCAGTATTTATAAAGACCTTGCATTGTTTCCTCTTACATTTGCTTTCACATGTAGCCTTAAAAAATTGGTTGAATATCTGAAGCAAGTGCTGTTTGTTGAGGGATTCATTCGCTTCCACTTTTTCTTTTAGATGATACAACTTCTCTGCATCAATACACACGTTTGCTGTTGTGATTCAGCTCTGCCCAGAGAGCTTCATTTTTCATTTAGCAGTGGTCCTGAAAATGGTGAATGACTGCTGAGGATTCACAGATATCCTTGGTGGAGTTTTTCTGCTGTCAAGCATTTGTGTATCGCACTGTGAGAAGAAGCAAGAAAACAAACTGGACCCACAATCCTTAAGTGGATTTTTATAAGTGGGTGAAAAGATTTTTATTTTTTTTTCCCAGGTTACTTTTAGAAAGTGAACTGCAGACCAGGTGTGAGGGGTGACTGAAGCAGAACTCGGAGTAACACATGAGAACTGCATTACTTCAAAAAGTTAGGTTAGCAGGTAACGTTTGCTAATAATACATAGTGCTAATGCAGCACAATGGAGTGATGCAAATGCAGCTGTCTTAAGCACCAAGAAGAATCTGACACTGCTACCATCTTTTCCCAGATCTATTTTCAATCTCTAGAATAACTATTAGCAAGTTTCTAATGTACAAAAAAATAATACATGCAAGGTAATGGGGCATCATGGTAACTCTGATTAGGATCAGCAATTTCCTTGGAGTTGCTCTGGGAAGTGACACCCAAAGCTTGTCTCAGGCCTCACAAAGGCCTCGAGCAGCCCCCCTGGCTTCCAAGCACCTTCATTTCCAAACAGAGCAGCATCAGCAATGGGTGGATCTGGACCCCGAGGCTGCATTTTCATCTAGACAGATAAAGGACCAGGGAAAGGGAAGATCATCTGCTCTCCTGTGATTGCACAGATTGTGCTGTTGCTGATACAGACTGCTGCTCTGCCTGGCAGAGCGCAGATCTTTCCCATCACTTCAAAAAGTGACTCCCTGCTCATTAGCTCCCAGCCTCATTAGCGATAGCATACAGCTCATTCAAGTGGCCAGCTGCTCCAGCTGCCCCGTCACCACCATTGGCATTGTCCAGATGCCCCTTGAACACTGCCTGCTGCCCTAGGCAGCCTGTTCCAGTGCAGAAACACTAAGAGAAAAGATGCTTAGGCTGTTAAAATAATTACCTAAACTACAAGAAAATGGTTTATTGACCACATGAATAATTTTTGGCTCTTGTTTTTGCCTCAGTTGCCATGTTTGTTCTGCAGCTGGTGGTGCTGAAGTACAATAACACATTTGATAGTACTTCTAATGGTTCAAGACCAGAGTAGTAATTTTCTAAAACTAAAGGGCTGTGTGGGTACCTGAACACTGCAATTTGCAGGTTCAAAATAAACACTCTGGAAATTGGTGTGTGATGTTCACTCAGAAGCTTTACTGAAATAGAGGCGTATATTAACAATGATCACACATGCTTTTTCAGACTAATTTCTCTCTTCAAATACAGATGGCAACGTTTTTGGAAATATCAGTATGGTAAACATACAGAGCTATGGGGGCTTAAAACCAATAAATTCTATGGAGTTGCTCATAATTTTCCCAGAGCGAGGGATCAGTCACACAACAGCTTTCATGCTTTCCTTTCTCTCCCTTTTCTTGACTTAAACCTCTTACCAGTTATGAATACTTAAATCCTGCTGGAAGGAGTTTGACGTTGCAGTTCCTTGGCAAAGACCTCCTGCACCGTGGCTGGCAGAGAAAGAATAAGTCTGAGGGTTTTGGAGATGGAGTATCTGCAGCAATGTATCTGAGGCAGCAACGAAGTGCTGTGTGATGAAGCCACGCAGTCCTGGCCAGAACTGGACAGACTTCCCTGCGTGAAGACTGCGTCAGTATTTCTTTCCTTATAGCTCGGAAGTTGCACTTGTAACCTCAGTTTGGATGAGGTTAGTTTACACTTTTGTGTTTGGGCAGTGTTGTTTAGGGATGAAAGTGGGATCTTCCGTTACCTGCATCCGTGTCGCATGCTTGCATTAATTTGTATGCAGAGACTGTTTTCACTGCTGTGTTGCAAAAACCCAGCCCCGCTGACAGAGGCCGTATGCCTAGCGGCAGTGGCACGGCTTCAGCAGGTTGTGACAGGACAGCCACGATAACCTTGTACGTAAAACGCAGGCATCCGTACGTCAGGAGATTGCAGGCTTGCTAAAGGACTCTTTAAAGAATAATTTGGTGATGCTATCAGAGAGCAGGCATGCTCCATCCATCAGCCTCTCACCTCCCCGCGGGTTTTAATTAAATGATTGCTTTATAGCTTTCCTTAAATTTCAAGGCTAAATGATGTGGGACTTATTTCCTCAATTATAGAGGGAGCTGTTATCTGTTGCTCCGATCCTTGACTGAGAAAATAGCGCTGTTCTGCAGAATGCTGTTCAACAGAGAGGACTTCTTTTTTTTATTATGGTTTACCATTCTCCCTTGTCTGGATGAGGTGTTTCAGATTTAAAGTTATTTTGACAAGTAACCTCAGGAGTTGATCTAAGCACTGGGTGTCTCGCGGTTTTATAATGAGAAACAGCTGACACTGCTTCACTGGGGGCTCAGAGGTTTGGCTAATTGTGTTCTACTGAGTGACAGAAATACTTTCTTTTTGTATTAAAAGCAGAAGCTGTGTTATGTGTCTGCAAAGACTTAGGCAGCTCATTCCTGTTTCAAGACAGCAGATGTGATTTGTGGTTTGGCAAAAACATTTTGATACGGTGCAAGAAAAAAGGGAATGGTTGTGCTAAGGGATAGGAGTGGATGAGAAGTGAAAAAGCAAACGCGAATGTGAAACTCCTCTAAAAGCAGAGATCAAAGTTAATGAAGCCACACAAGGCTTATCAGCAAGCGTAATAAACTAGTGAAGTACAAATGAAACATCTCCCTATGAGGAACTGAGAGAGTGGCTGATAAAACTATCATTACCCTTAGACAGCAGTTCCTTGTGATGGCTCTGCCTGCCACAGAATCATTAAGGTTGGAAAAGACCACTAAGATGATCCAGTCTAACCCCCAGACCATCACACCATGCCCACTAACCAGGTCCCTCAGTGCCACATCCACACGGTTCTTGAACACCTCTAGTGACACCACCCTCTCCTTGGGCAGCCTGTGCCTCACCACTCTTTTTGAGAAGAGTGCTATCCAATCTGAACCTGCTATCCAATCTGAACCTCCCCAGGTACAACTTGAAGTCCTAGCCTCTCGTCCCAGATGTCAGCAATGAGCTGCTCTCACCACTCTGATTTGCTTTCTCCTTCAGATACTACCATCTGCAGGCTCAGTCTAGACACACAATTAGTTGTGTGTGGTAACCATGCTGACCCACTCCCTGCGAAGAGCTTCTAATTTCATCTACGTAGTCCACCTTGGTGGAGAAGGTATGTAGAAGTAGTGGTGAGCCTGGCAAAACCAGAAAGTCCATGCTTCTGGATATGGCCTTGTTCAAGGATCAAGGATCAGGGATCAAGGAACTTTCATTTCCTTTTATTTTTAAAGTAACTTAACATGGTTCAGTATAGTCTAGCTCCAATAGTAATGTTTGATGTAGAAAACAAAATGCTTGCTTGAAAGATAAGATCCATCTGCTATCTCATATCAGTTTCTGTCTGAATTCTAGCTTCCATCCATAATTTCCAAGTATTTAGCATGCAAACCATAGCCATCCTGTTTCCAAAGGGAATGTTTACTAAATTAAACATTAAAGGGATGTGAAAGCTATTTTCTATTCTAATGATACATAATTAGAAAAAAAAAACCAACATAAAAATAGATTAAAATGATTAGTCTTAATAAGAAGTAATTCTCAAGCCTTGTGCAATAGCATGGTCTTCACACTTCAGAGATGGAGAACAATGATGCTGGGGGACTACTGACAGGCGCTGGTTTTAGTATTAATTTAATTTTGTAATGTTTGTTTAACTTCATGTTTTCTTAGACTACCTGGTCACAGCAGAGAGACCCTGGTGGATACACCTGATGTTACCGACCAGGATAAGTGCATGTTGACTCCAGAGCATCTGAGCAGAACTGAACAAAATGTGAAGTGTCAGTTAGTGTGCGTGATGGTAAGTCTATCACATGCACACAGAGGTGGGCTGGCTATACTTATTCCTTCAAACCACTGTTGCTTCAAGGCATCTGCTTACTTGTAAGTTTCAGGGCAGTAACTGCCTCCCTACTCATAGGAAACAGGCAAACCACTGCACCAGCTGCAGCTAGGAATAAGACCAAATCCTTCTCTGTTAATCCCGTTTTCCTGGTCTCACTTTCTCCAGTCTCAATTTCTCTGGCTGGTTCAGCCTCACCTTGAGCACTGTATGCAGTTTTGGACATCACAAGGTAAGAAGGACATAAATCTATTAGTGTCCAAAGAATGGCTACAAAGATGTTGAAGGGTCTGGAGGACAGGATGCATGAGGAGCAGCTGAGGCCCCTGTGTTTGCTCAGCGCAGAGCAGGGGAGCTGAGGGGAGGCCTGACGGCGGCTGCAGCTCCTCACAGGGAGCGGAGGGGCAGCGCTGAGCTCTGCTCTGTGTGACAGCGACAGGGCCCGAGGGAACGGCGTGGAGCTGCGTCAGGGGAGGGCGGCTGGGGGTCAGGGAAAGGGAAAGACCCACCCTGAGATCGTATTAACAATACCAACAGGCAAAGAAGCAGGAAGCATTGGTTTTAATGGCTTGTGACAGTACTTCTATATCAAATGGTTCAGTAAGTCTTCTGCAATCCCTTTTAATTGGGAAGGCTACTAGTTTTAAAAAGAGTTCTATATGCCTTTCACATTAGATTTTCCAAGCTTTTTTTGGTGAAGATACAGGAAATTATTTTGTATGAGAAGCGCGTGTGATTTGCACAGAATCACAAGGGTTAGAAGGGACCTCAAGAGATAGAGTCCATTCCCCTGCTAAAGCAGGTGGGTGTCCAGACAGGTCTTGAATATCTCCATAGAAGGAGACTCCACAGCCTCTCTGTGCAACCTGTTCCAGTGCTTCGTCATCCTTACTGTAAAGAAGTTCTTCCACATGCCAATATGGAACTTCCTATGTTCAAGTTTTGGGTCATTACTCCTTGCCCAATAGCTACACAGCACTGAGAAGAGCCTGGCCTTCTCCATTTTCCTCTCACGCCTCCCTTGAGATATTTAGAAACATTTGTCAGATCCCCTCTCAGCCTTCTTTTCCCCAGGCTGAACAGTCCCAGGTTACTCAGTCTTTCCTCATACGAGAGATACTCCAGGCTCTTAATCATCTTTGTGGCCCTCTGGATTCCCAGGAGATCTCTGTCTTTTTTAACTAGGGAGACACAGTAGGTCTAAATATGGCTTCACCAGGGCAGAGTAGATGGGAGGATCACCTCCCTCAACCTGCTGGCCGTGCTCTTTTTAATGCATCCCAGGATCCCACTGGATTTCTTGGCCACAAGGGCACACCTCTGTCTCATGGCCAACCTGCTGTCCATCACGACCCCCAGGTCCTTCTCCACAGAGCTCTTCTCCAGCAGGTCATCCCCTATCCTTGTGTTTGAGTGGGTGTATAAAGGACTGAAGCTGTGAAGGGATCCCTCAGTCCCAAGAGCAGTAATTCTGCCAAGGTGAAGATGTCTGCTGAAGGTTCTGGCCCTGTAAGGGGCTGGCAGGAAGATATCAGCCAGATTCCAAAAGTTGATGGATTGTGAAAGTCAGCAGTCCACACTGGGAACATGAGGGAACTGGGACCACTTCTCTCAGCTACATCTAATCAGGAACTTATGAAGAGGAAGTAATGTCTTTACCTAGGGAAGGCAAACATCTAACTTCACACTGCTGGGCTGTGGTTTGACGTTAAACATGGTACCTTGGCTGAGCTGGATCAGAAATGTCAGGAGGACATAACACAGACTCCGTGACATGACTCTGGTCTTGTTTCATTTTTAAAAATATTGACAAGCTGACTTGGTTTTGGCGAGCTCTGCAGCAGATCAGATGTCACCTGCCTGTGCGGTGGTAATGAGGCTGTATCAGGTGTCACTCACCTTCCTGCAGCTCATGTGAAAACAAAAAAACCAACAGCAACCCTGTGCTTAGAATGAGGCTAATGTGTGTGCCTGTACCTGATCTCAATGGCACTCACAGCCTTCACCCAACAGCCCCAGATGCTGAACAGCATAAAGTAGATAAAGTTGCTATCTCGTTTTACATGTTGTTTTGCACTGTCTTAAATCCATTTTTGTGCTTTCTAATCACAGAAGTTATTCCATTTTGAAAGGCTTCCTTGTATGCCAATGTGTGCACCAATGCGTTTGGGAAGGAAGCACTCCCTTCAACATCAAACCTGTTTGGCCAGCCGGTGACCAACACAAGGGGTGTATCCTGACAGCCCAGGAAGGAAAGTGCTTGTCTTCCTGGGCTTGACTGCATCTCTGGAGAAGAAGAGAGCTGGACATGCACTTGGGCACTGCACGAAGCAGAGAGAAGTGAAGGTTGTAAGTTAGGATAATATGGTTAGGTTGTGGTGGGACTTGATGATCTTTAAGGTCCATACCTAAAGGGAGCTTACAACTAGGAGGGGAATCAATTCTTCAAAAGGGTAGATGACAGCAGGACAAGGGGAAGTGGTTTTAAGTTGAGGAGGGGAAGATTTAGGTTGGATGTCAGGGGGAAGTTCTTCACAGAGAGAGTGGTGAGGTGCTGGAACAGGCTGCCCAGAGAGGTTGTGGATGCCCCGTCCCTGGAGGTGTTCAAGGCCACGTGGATGGGGCCCTGGGCAGCCTGGTCTAGAATTAAATGTGGAGGTTGGTGGCCCTGCATGTGGCAGGGGGTTGGAGATTCATGATCCTTGAGGTCCCTTCCAACCCTGGCCATTCTGTGACCAAAGTCTTTTCCAACCTGAGCAATTCTATAATTCTGTAGGCATCTGGATCGAGCCTTGCAGTAAGCAACAAGCAATCCATGGCCGTGACACCTCCCTGCTTGTGCATCTAGGTTTCATCAGAACGGGGTCGTGCGGCCCCACCACAGGAGCCAATATGGCTCCACGAACTCCGTCACGGAGCCCGGGGCCTGTGAGGCCACGGTGAGCTTCCTGGCAGCAGAGCCGTGCCCCACGGCAAATCGATCAGCGGAGCGGCCACAAGAGGAGGAGGGGGAGGAGAACGAGGCGGAGCACCGCCAGCCCCATCCCTCCCGTCCCTCCCCTTCCGGGCCGCCCGCCCTTTCTCTCCGCCGCGCCCGTGGGGAGCAGCTGCGGCCGGCGCTGCCGCCGGGACCCGCCCCGCTTCCTCGCCGGGCACCTGCTCGGGGCGGAGCGGCGGCGGCCGGAGGAGCGGCGGCAGGAGGCCGAGGTGGCGGTGGCGGCGGCTCCGGAGGCGGCTGTGCGGGCGGTGAGTGCGGCGGGGCCTGGGCAGGCCCGGCGGGGTGGCGAGGGCCGGGCCGGGCGCTGTGCGGTGTCAGTGCCACTATCGGGCCCGGCCCGCGCCGGGGGGGTTGACAAAACCGCAGTGGTTCCGCGGGACGGCCCGGCCTCGGGGCGGCCGCGAGGGGGAGAAGCGTTGGTGTCCGTCCGTCCGGTGGCGGCGGCGCGGTGTGAAGGGGACGAGAGGTCAGCGGGCATCGCTGCGCTGGCGGCTGTGCGGCCCGCACGGTGCCTGCCCCCGTCCCCGTCCGCGCGTTTGCCTGCATAACCGCGTGTGATGCACGGCAACGTCCCCGGGCCGAGCGCCTGCACCCCGGAGCTCGGGTTGGGCCGAAGGAAAGTGAACTGATAGCGGTGTGACCGATGCTGTGCTGCGTTCCGTGGTTATTCATCCTCAGCTGAAGCTGCGGCACACCGGTAGGTTGGAGGGGAGCAACAGCGGCGGTAACGGTGTCTGCATTGCTCACCGCTGTCCTGAGTCACTTCTAAATGTAGCTTAGGTCCCCAAGGGTTTAAAACAAAGGCTGCTCAGATTGCAGGGAGATTCTCCTTACCTGCTTACCTGGCGTGTTTGTGGCCTCAAGGAGAGACAGAGCCTGTCATCAAAGTTTGGCCAAGTGTGAGAGGCTCCAGGAATCGCGCAGGGGGAGGAGGAGGAGGGCAGAGGTGTGGAAGGGCACTGGTGGTAGAAGATGGGTTGTGGCAGTCTCAGATCTGGGGCTGGGCACAGGGGGATGGAGGATGCAGTGACTAAGATTTTCCCCCTCGTTTTCAACTTTTCACTCTGTAGGACTGCTAGGATTTTTTTTTTTAGGTATTAATTTAATGTTGGCGTTGATGAGGTGAGCTGAATTAATTAATCTCCTTTAGTGGCACACCCTGTTGTACTGATAAACAGCTGTCTTAGTGAGTGCCCATGTATTCCACTCCTCCACATCTGCCGCTAGCAAAATAACTGGTATTTCTGCCAGGACTTTTGTAAGAGCTCTCGCACCAACTTTCCTTCCACCTATGGTGTAATGAGATGGGCCTTGTGGGCGTTCACCTGTCGGGAGACAACACAGGCTGGGTTCTCTTTCTGTCCTGAATGGAATCGGGCTCTGCAGGGAAGGAGGAAACATCGCAGGAGCCTTCCAGAAGGGCTGGTCTCGCTGGTGAGCACAGCTCTGGTTGTCCAGGTTCTTGGCAGCAGCACCTGTGTGTGATGTTGCTGATTCTACAAGGCTTTTGAGTAAATAAGGCATTTCTTTCACTTTCTGCTTTTGTGACTTAAGATTAAACAGCAGACGTCTCTGTTACTACAGTTGAGGCCTGTTGGATGGCATTCAGTAGGCAGGAAGCTGTGTGGTTTTTCTGTTTTGTTTTTCTTAGGCTTAAATATTAAGACAATGAAAGCATTAATTTTTAACATGCTTCTGACATCTCCTTAGGACTCAGTAAGGAGAACTGGCTGGGGATATTACGGTGAAATTTAAGGCTCTGTAATAGATGTATGTTAAAGACCTTTCATTCAGTGTGTTATAGAAAAGGCTAGTCAATACATTCCAGCTGCCTGCTGTCGGCAGGGCTGCCCCCCACCAGCTCAGCTGCCCAGGGCCCCATCCAACCTGGCCTCAAGTGCCTCCAGGGATGGGACACCACAGCTTCTCTGGGCAGCTGTGCCAGCGCCTTGCTGCCCTCTGAGTCAAGGATTTCCTTGTCGCATCTAATCTAAACTTGCTTCCTTTTATTTTAGAGCTATCATCCTTTGTCCTATCACTGTGCTCCCTGATGGAGAATCAGTCCCCATTTTTCCTGTAGGCCCCTCTAGGTACTGGAAGGCCGCGATGAAGTCTCCCCAGAGATTTCTCTTTTCCAGGCTGTATAAGCTCAGCTTGTCTCCTTAGGAGCAGTGCTTCTCTGGACCTGCTCCGAGAGCTCCAGGTTCTCCTGGTACTGGGACCACAGAGCTGAACATGGTACTCTGGGTAGGGTCCTATGAGAGCAAAGTAGAAGAGGACAGTCACTTATGTCCTGCTGATCCTGATTCTTTTGAGACTGACATAAGTAATTTATGTCAAAAAAATGTGATGCAGGCTTACTTTGGTCAGTCTCTTCCAAGTTCACATTGTAATCTGTTTTTCTACAAAGGTAAGGCATTGCCTGCTAATTAGTGCCATTAAATGGGTTAGTTTTAAATGAGAGCATGTTGAGCTTAAGTTACATTCCTTAGTAGATCAGCTCAGGTATTTTTATTCTTTTGATCAAACTCACTGGGCAAGGAAATACTTTCTGAATACCTCAAGGTATTCATACACTAAACAGGTGTATCAGTGAGAAGTATATACTAAAGGTAGGACTGTACTTCCTGCAGGACGTCTTCATCCTGCTGTGAGTGTAAGGGGAATCTCAGAACATCCCAAGTTGAAAGAGGTCTATAAGGATCATGGAGTCCAACCCCTGGCTCCACGCAGCACCACCCAAAATCAAACCCAGTGTCTGAGAGTGTTGAACTCCGGCACTGGTGGCCGTGCCCACAGTCTTGTGCATCCCGTTCCCCGCCCAGCACCCTGTGGTGCAGCCCCTTTCCCTGACCCCCAGCCGCCCTCCCCTGACGCAGCTCCACGCCGTTCCCTCGGGCCCTGTCGCTGTCACACAGAGCAGAGCTCAGCGCTGCCCCTCCGCTCCCTGGGAGGAGCTGTCAGGCCTCCCCTCAGCTCCTCTGCTCTGCGCTGAGCAAACACAGGGGTCTCAGCTGCTCCTCATGTACACTTTGCTCTCCAGACCCTTCATTATTATTGTAGCGGGATAAAAGCCGAAAAGAGAGAAGAAAAATATTTCAAACCTGCAGTGACTGAGTTCATGGGAGGCTGGAGCCATGATAGCTGGGAGGGGAGCTGGCAGGAAGAAGGATCTGAGTGGGCTTTGCAAGGGTTGTGGCTTGGCAGTGCAACGTGCTTGGTGTGACTGCTGACTGGTGGTGCTGGTTCCTGCTACCTCAGAATTCCTTTCTCTGAGCCACTTTGCCACAGATGCTTTTGACGGTGGTATGGACTGGACAAGGAAATTTGGTCAAGGTAACATGGTGCTAAGATAAGTCAAGCCATAACCTTGGACATGTGAAAGATTCTTTGAGAAGAACAAAAGCCCAGGAGGACGTTTCTGTAATTTCACAAGAGCGCTCATCAGATAGGAGAGCAGTGAGGAAACTGCAGATGGATTTCAAATCTAGGTCTTTGTCCCACCCTGTTCCCTGGTATGTTTTGCCCAGTGAGAAGACGGTGACTATGTCACACTCCACTGACACAGGTTGGGTGCACCAAAACATCTTATTAAACGTATTCTGAGCAAGATACGATCTATTGCAGATACGATCTATAATCACATGTATTCTAAGCAACCAATGTGTTAGCCTATGACTAATTGGTATTTGAGTTGGGGAGGCCTTTATTGGCATAGGTAAGGGTAAATTGGGATGTGTAAGGTTGCACAAATTCTGGGCAAAGTAAGTTAGGGTAGGAAGGGTTACACAGCCTGTCTTGTCAATGCGACTGTTGTGAGGTGGATACTGAAGGGCAGCGAGGTGTGGGGTGGGAGCATGCATACTGGGGAGGTCTTGGGTCAGCTGAGGGGAGATCCAAAGGCTGTCTTCCAGTGTCATGACTTTGTATGCTTTATACATGGTTCACCATGATAAGCAATAGGGAACAAACTGTTACAAAGTATGCAAACTAAGATGTGGGCAGAGTATGAAAACCACGTGATCTTGCAGAGAAGCAAGATCATGTGGGAAATTGTTTTGAATTCCCCAAAATGTGAGGGATTGTTTATATGTTAATCTTCGCTCGATTCTATGGGCTCTGTGTTTTTGCCAAAGGTGCCACATTCTCCTTTCCTTGACGACTTCTGGTTGTAGCTCAGGCCCTTGGCAAGAATGTTGCACATAGGTAAAGTGGGTAGAGATGGTTGGAGGTGAATGGAGTGTCAGAGGCATAGCTACAGCCTCACTTGACCTGCACAGCTAGGGGCAGTTTGGCCATAGGGTGGTTACTGGGCCTGTGCTTCATCCTGTTCTCCAGCCTTGCAGGACCTCTCTCTTTTTTTAGCTGACGATGCTTGGGTCATATTCCACAGTCTTTTGCACAGATTTGTTATCTCTTAGTTGCCTGTAAAAAGAAACAGTTTAGAAATCCCTCAGCTGGGTTTCATTTGCCTCAACAGTGTGTCCTTGAATTCAGTAGCTGCTCTCAAGCTCACAGCTTGCAAAGCTGTCATGTGTTCTGTCTGGAGGGAGTGTGTCAGGAGTTACTCTTAGGGCTGGCAGAGCAGTCAGTCAACGCTGGATGCCTGTCTGACAGCCATCAGTCAGTTGGAGCCCTTTCTGCCACTTCCAGGAAGTTCATGTTGCTGTGTCCTTGTGCTGCTGGCTCTAGATACAGAAGAAGGTCTGAAGTGAGGAGTGTGAGGCAGGATGGTTGAGGGCCAACTCATGACATCCTGCATTTAGCCCCAGCGGGGCTTCTAGCCTTGCATCAGGGTGCTAACTGGGAGCTGGGGTTTGGAGGTTGAAGGTGTTGAATAGAAAAATGAGGGGAAAATGAGAGGCTGGCAGCCTCTGCTTGTGATGGTAGTGTCCAAGCCAGACTGGGAAGCACTAAGCTAAAGATCATGTGAAGTCTCACAGAAAGGTTCTAGCTGGTTTGCTGGAAGATGTGAGTCTGCTCTTATGCTCTTTCTGAGACATTTTCTGTTGGAGGCAAGATTTGTGTATACCTGCCAGCTTTGTTAAGCAGAGTCATGCTTCAGGAAGCAGAGTTGTATGTCATGGTTCAGCTCCACGTTTGAGACTCCTTTCTGAGCAGTAATGTCAAAGGGACTTGTGTGTTCCTTCAAGAGCAAACAGTGCTTATGTCCTGCTCAGGCAATAGTTGGGGACACATGCGTGACAAGCTTTCACTTAGCTATTTTAACTTATCTGTTAGAAAAGTTGCCAGTCCTATGCTTCTTGTTTGAGGATAAACAGCATTCTCTGTTGCTTTAAAATCTCTGAATTGTCTGGATTGCAGCTGAGGATTTGATTTGATTGTTTTTTCTGTCTGGCTGTGTTGGTGCTGACAATCAGTTTCTGGTTTCTCTTTCTTGATAGGCCCTAGAGCACTTCATAGCATGCTCTGGCATGTCCCTTGCAGTTCCTTGTTGATCCCAGCCTATAAGAGAACCATATGAGAAGCTTGCAGCTGCTCATTTCCTTTTAGAGGAGGGTGGAAGAATAGTGAACTAGGTGGCTTTTTCAGTGAGGGTCAACATCTGTCTTTGTGACTGCTGTATGATGTAACTTAGGAAATATTTGCTTAGCCCTTCCTCTTGTATGATGTTTGGGAGGCAGTTGCAGTGACAGACTGGCAGTCCTTACAGTGGGATAAGAAATGCCTCCCTTCACCACAGGGGAAATGACAATTTAAGTGGCGAACGCTTACTCCTCTGAAATTGTCCTTAGTTTACAGCTTAGGGTTTCTCCTACCATCTGTATTGTAGCTGATGGAAAGCACCCCTGAAAGACGCACAAAGCAGTTGATGATTTGTGGTCTGTTTACAGAGTTAACTACTTCTACTCCATCTGTGTCCTGTCTGTAAGATTTTAGCTGTTTGGGGCCCACTGATTGGGACTATTTGCATTGGCGAGAACTCTGGTTCCATTCAGCTGGATGGTTGTAGTCTCTTTTGTGTTTTTGTGTGTGTTTCTTGCTGGAGAAAATCAGAAGTTGGAGGCTAGTTTTAATTCAGAAAAGCAACTTCTTAAAAGTCAATGGTCTTACTGAAAGAATGTGTATTCTAGTTGATGTGTCCCAGACAATTTCTGGTTGTTCCCAAATTACTTCTTCTCAAGATACATTTTTCAGGTTGTTACTAGAAACTTCAAGAAAGCTCTGGTTTCCAAAGTGTAGAATCAGAGGAGAGCTGGAAGCAGGCTGAAGGCAGTTTCTCCTTAGAGAAACATTGCCCGATTTCCATTCCAAAAGTCAAGGCAAAGAAAAGAACTGCCTAAACACAGTTACTGATAACTCCTGCAATGAGTCACTTATTGTTGTAATGCAGTGAATGTGAGGAGCACGATGCACTTAGTAATACTACTTCCTAGTTACAAACATTTTTACACGCTTCAGTAGCGGTGGAGTCATACAAAGTACAATGAGAGAAGTAGGTGGAATGCAGGATCCAGAGTGCAGCAGGTCCTGGCATCTCTGGTACTCAAGATGAGCTGATCTTTAGGAGGCATCTGGATGGCTCGCTTGGGAACTGCAAGGCCTCTGCTTCCTTCCAATCATTCTGCGGTAGAAAGGCTTACTGCTTAGTGCCTTATGGCAGACTTTCTTTTGATTTGGAACTGTATTGCTGATCTGGGATAGAGGATTTAAACCTGCGTTTAGCAACGTGCTTAGACATTCTGTGTAGATGAATTCATGACTCTGGTATTGCAGTGGGAATTTTGTTTGGCACTGTGTGTTTCCTGCCTTCATATGCTATGTGTTGCATCTTTAAATTGGCTAAGAGTGAATCTCTTAGTTCTGTGTCACTTTTAGGAGGTACATTAAAACAAGTGAATGCTTTCTTTCCACTAGGGCGTGGAAATGACAGTAATCCTGTTTATCCTAAGGCGAGGTCTTGAAAATACCATCATTCCTTCTTTTGCTTTTAGTGCAATTGTTTAGCAGATCTGGAAAGAATAAGTCATATTTGGGTATGGAAGTTCAGATTCTATATTGGTTGCTGTGTGGCATTGCATCAGAATCTAAATGATGATTTTGGTGGGGCTTCGTGATACTCTTGTGTTTTTAGTTTTTAACCTATTTTTAGAATGAAGAATAAAGTTCAGAACTGAAGGGAGGATAGAAAACAAGAATTTGAATGGCATGTGAAGCAGTCACTTTAAGCTTATAAGAAGAGAGAATAGTAATGAATCTTCAGAACTTGTGATATATTCATCTCTTGAAATGTTTACAGGAGCAGTTTTCTCATGTTTCTGTCATACTGTTTGGTTTGACAGGGTGCGTCCGTACTTGTGAGAAGTAGGAAATAATTGCAGCCACACCATTATTTATTTTTGAAAAATACTTGCTGTGAGTACTGGTGTTAAAATACCTTATTTAACTTTGGCCAGTAGAATCTGTGAGTGAACAAAGGGCCTAAATTGAAGCCATGCAGTCCTCAGATGCGTGTCTTTGAGATCTAGGAGGTAATGCTTAGCTTTGGGTCTGAATGCTCAAGGAACAAATTCTGTGTGCCATCTTGGGGTACTTCTTTCTTGTTTCACTGTCCCTAGCAACAGTTCTTAAAGCTTTATGTCTCGCCTCATAGACTCGCTGCAGAGCAGATGCTCTCATAGAATGTGTGACTTCTGAGATCTAGAATTGTGCTGTTACTACATCTGGCAAATAATAATTCAGTTAGATTACAGTCCAACTTAATGACTAGGAAGTGAACATCTCTGGAATTAGCCTGAAATGTGGCAGATTATATATGTGGTTTCCTAGCATCCGTCTGTGGTGGTGGGTATTGGAGGCATGCTGTGTGTTCTCAAAGATAGCGCTGTTTTATCCATGATGGAATCATACAGAAACAAGATATACCAAGGGGTAATATCTGACCAAGTAGTATGATGTGGGACTAGGGAGAACATGTGTAGGCATGGCCCTGCATGTTTTTTGTGAGCCTTAAAGCTTGCTGGTTTGGCTTTTTTTGGTTCTGTTTTTTTTCCCCTCCTTCTTTCCTTTCAATTTCAGTTGATGGGGTAAAAGGTTTAGTTATAAAATACAGATCTGAGTGCCTTGAAGTATCAAAAAGTCTATGGTGGCTTTTCTGGAGCAGCAGACCTGGGAGAAGGTTTGTATGGTAAAAAACAGAGTATAGAAGAACACTGACCTGTACGCGTTCTTCTAGTTTCCAGTTTCAAGAGGCTGGTTGTTCATTAATTCCAAAGCTGTTGATGGTTCTCTTTTTGCCTCTATTTATATTTCTGGCTTTTACAGCATCTTGTGGTAATTAGGAGCGGTAGGCTTGGGTATGTGGTTCAAATTCCAACTTCTACCCAGTTACCTGATAATTTTACTCTGTTTTACTCCTCGTGTTTGCTAAATAATGAATAACTGTTCCATTCTTATTTACCAGTCACATTACTAGTGAGCTTGTATGTCCTTTCTTTACTTGTTTTCCAAGAGTTTCATACCTTTTCTTGAAGAGCACCAAGAAGGATAGACTTCATAGATTTTTCTGATGCTTCTGTATCTTTTTATGAGAAGGGATTCCCAAAGCTGCTTCCAGGATTCAAGAGCAATCTGTCTAGGTAGTGGGTTATTAGCAAGTAAAGTACAGAAATGTATCTTTTGTAGATAGTTTCGTTTGGATGAAATGTAGCAATACAAATATTAACATTGGATGGAGCAGTAAAAGCTTACAGGAGGTCTGTATTGATGTAAAAGCGTTGGTGTGTTTATTACAAATGTGAAGCTCAGCATGTGAAATGATGCAATGAAAGCAAGTACTTGTAAACATTTTAAAGCTAGCTCACTGTCCCCTGTCTGTCATCTGTAGCATTCAGTGCCTCCTAGTATTTACAGCATTTTTATGTTTCTGCGTATTGCTTGAGATTAATAGCTTAAAGCAGAATTAAATTATAGGATGTGGGGAGAGAGAGATGAGCCAGATATTTATATCCTTTACGATGAAAATAAACTGTGTTCTAAGATCAGCAATTAGGATAAAAGTTACTTGCTTTAAGATGAGAACTAGTAGTGAAAATGAAACTTATTTAAAAAGTATGCCACACCTCAACTTTAATGCATCTGATGCTGTCCTGGTTAAAATGTGCCCCTGTTGGAAACTGTAGTGAATTCTTTTATCATACCAGTGAATTGTATCATTTTTACAGCTTCAAGAACTTCATATAAACACATGAGAGAAGATGACAAGATCTAGATCAAGATCACCACGATGGAAGCAAAGGTAAATGCTTTATCTTTAACTGTGTGTGTTCTGGAATGTAGTTCTGAAGAAAAATTTATGATGAAGTCTTCAAACATTGCAGTTAATGGACGTAGTTTCTTTTGCCAAAGATGCATTTTAAAGAATCCTGATTTGTTTTTCAAACTTAGTTTTTGTAGCATGTTTTCCACATCATAATTTTGTTACTAACTTTTTTAAAAATGGGAAAGATTAAGCTTTCGTTCTTTCTAAGAACCTTGTTAGGCTTGAATATTTTGGGAATTGAAATTGCATGAAGTACCAAACTCCAAGTACTGAGCCAGTTGAACTTATTTTTATTCCAGCTCTACCTGATGTCTGTAGCTTGCTTATGTTTTGCCTCTTGGTCTTGGATAATCAAGGAAATTTATTGAATAACACAAGCATAATTTTAGAGATATCCTACCTGCTTCATACTGTACTGATGATTAGGAATGTCCTTTGAGTGAACAGAGGGAAATGCAGAGCTCTCATAAAAATGTGAGCCCTAATTAAAACAGTCAAACAAATTTTGGCGTGGCAGTATAGGTACTGGTGGTAGTTGTATAGCTTACATAGTTTTATGAAGATCTAGGGTCTGATTTTGAACTTGTTTGCTGAAACAGAAATTGATTATGTCACATACTATTTTTATAATATATGCATAAAGGAAGTAACTTCTTTGAATTCCTTTCTAATGCTATTTTCTGAGAATATACAGTGAATGCTGTGTCTGGTTTTGGTCTGGGATTACTTTCTGTTTCTTGCTAGTGGCTTGTGCTGCTTTTCTTTAATGGGATTTTGGCTAAAAGACTCAAGTTGCTTTTGGTTTTCTAACTGTAAGTCACAATTCAAGGCTGAGAAGGGTGCTACTGAACTTATAAGAGCAGAAGCTGCAATAATTGTATAAAATGTGTATATGCATGTACACACACACACAAAAAGACAAAAACAGCCTTTCTCAAACTACCTTTTTTTGGATTTTTTTTTTTTTTTTTTTTTTTTTTTCAGGAAAGAAGGCTACCTGTGTGTTGTTTTCAGTAAAATATCTTATGTTTTCAGTCCATGGTTGTTTTTTTTTTTTTTTTTTGTTTTTTTTCAATCTTGACATGTAAAGAGCATCTGAAAACTGTGTGGTTTTCTTCTTCCTTTTTTACATTTGTGCATTTTGTTCATGGTTTTTTTTCTCTTTTTCTTTTTCCTCTTGGTCCTGGAAAAGATAGGGAATGCTTGACAAGTGTGAAAATGTGTAACAGTTGTTTTCTGTGTAGTGGAGACTTTATATACATTGAATTACTTATAGCATTTTTTGTTTTTTTCGAAAGCTAAAAGAGGAAAATGACTGACTTACCAGTATTTTGAGTGGGTATTTTTCCTGTGAACACTTTCAGTAGAGTTGAAAGCAAGCTTGTACTCTAGCTAGACAAGTGACACTGAATATCTTGACTGGTTCTAAATTTCTCTTCCCTGTTGATTGAAATTGGGCTTCTTTAGGGAATAGATGCTTTTAAGAGGTTGATTCAGTTTTATGGGACTACTCAGAGTGAGTTTTATCTTTGCCTTAGGTCCTTATCTCCAGCATTTAGGAGTCCAGAGCACCACAGGCAAAGGCACGCTCATGTTAATTATGACTGTGAATATAAAAGCTTTCGTAAGGACCTAAAGAAACCTATGACTTGGAGAACAGATGATGAAAAATACGGACAAAGCAATTCCAGGTTTGCACCTCATGGAAATAACCACCAGAGAATGTATGAACGTAGGTCACCTTCACCAAACCTGAAAAGAATTCCCATGGAAGATGCTTACAGCCATAAGCCCTACAGAACACATTCATCGGAAAGAACTGAAGGCAATAGGAGATGTCAGTTACCACCAAAATACTCAGAAATACCATATAAGGAGCACAGTCGGTCATTTTACCATTACAAAATGGAAGAAAGATACACGTTTGAACACTACAAAGTCACTGGAAATGAAAAAGGAATTAAACCTTTTCACAGACCGTTAGGGGCTTCATGTAAATTTGAAAGAAAATGGCATGAAGATGACTTGAGGCACCAGAGATTACACGAAGAGAAGTATGGTCAGTCACCCAGAAGAGTTTCTGATGAATTTACGTCAAGGAGCTCTTTACAGAAGAGGTATAGGAATAAAATAATTAAAACCTGGGTATTGTGGTGTAAAGCCTCAAGTGAAAGTCTGTTTTCATTATAGTTGAAGATAACCACCTTGAAACACGTTTGCCACTTTGTAGTTTAATTATGGGCGACTGGTAGTAGTGAAGTATTTGTCTTTTAAGTAAATCATATTGATGGCTAGAGTATGAAAGGATAATATTTCCCTCTTAAGAGCCCCTGCACATCCGTACCTTGGCGTGAGGGATTATGGGTTAACTTGCCACGCATTCTGCTGTCCAACATTCTTCACATATAAGTTCTCGCTTTCTTCTCTAGTGCAAGTGTAAATTGCTTTATGTCAACACAGGTATCCTGAAGATCACGATTACAGAGAATATGGGCACACGTCTAAAAGGGCTAAAGAAATGGAGAGGTATGACGGTGGAGAAGTAGCAAGAAATTCCAAGTGGAAGCAAGAGCGTTCTTTTTCACCCTACCAAGAAAAGGAGGAGCAAAGAAATCTGGGTGCCCAGTCTCACCGGTCGACTGAAAGGGAGTACTCGGAGGGATCGGTCACAAAGATAGCCTATGAATACAATCACAAACGGCGCAGGCACCTGGATGGGGAGAAGCCTTTCACAGATGATAGAGCTCAGAAGTACGCGAAGCAGGAAGATCAGAAATACGGATCTTCTAAGGGTGCCTGGAATAGCAAAAAGTTAGATTACTTTAGTGGTGGAAGAGCGAGACAGACTGAAGAAGGGCACGTTGAAGTCCCTCCTAAATATAGTTCAAAGAAGGGCTGCAATGCTTGCGTTAACTCTTCTAAAATGGATGCTGATCTGAGACCCTTTAAAAACAAGCAGAAGGAAAGAGTAAGGAAAGAAGGGGAACTCAGGAGAAAAGGAGATTCTTCCAGTAGCCAGCATGATTCAAGTCATACTGTTTCAGATGTGAAAGTGTCTGATGTCAACTGTAGGAGGGAACATCTCACAATCAAAGTGGACATGAAGAAAACGGTGAACAGGTACAGGTATTTGTTTCCCCTCATCTGTTCCTTATTCCAGCCTGCTTTCAGTTTATGAATATCAAAGGAAAGCCGTGTTTCCTTAGGAAGTAACAAGGACAAACTAAGGTTGTACCTTTTTAATTTTGCTTTGTTTAAAGCATTAACTTGCAGGCTGGAAACTCACTGCCTGTTGCTGTTTACAAAAAACAACCAACCAAAAAAGTATCGCCCAAAAAAAGCCTAGTTAATCTCATGGGAGTCTGGTAGCAAGTGGAAAGAACAGAGCAGATAAGACCAGTACAAACTGTAAATGAAGTTGCTTATTATGAGTAAATGTGTTAAGTTTATTCAAAACGGACAAAATCAGAAAAGTTGAATCCTGTTCTTTGTTCTGGAATATAATGACTTTTTTGACTTCCTGAGGAGTTCCTCATTTCTTTTGAAAACTAGCTAACTTTTAAATTGCATAAATCTCAGGTACACATTCAGATGTTTAAGATGAAGTCCAGTAAAGGTGTCAAAAAACGAAATCCCTGGGTTATATTATTTAGTATTGCAGCAAATGATGTAACAATCTTTTGGGGCCTCAGAACTGAAAAGTAATGGAGTATGTCTCTATCTCGTGTATAGTACTTCTGGTTGTCTTCAGCATTCCTGTTGTCAACTCAATTGGAAAAAAGGGTTAATGTGGCAGCCTAAATGAAGAACACATTGTAAAGACTAAGCAGCTTGCTTTGTATAGATATTTGCAGGCTTTTCTGGTTAATTGACTACCTGCTGTAGGTGAGGGTAATGGCAGTAATCTCTTTTGGAAGCTGTTCAGTCCTCATTTAAAAGGTATTTTACTTCTCTCAAGCAAAACATCTCTGCCAGTTTTTTTTCCAATATTTCAGAAAATATGTAATACAGTGAAGAGTTGTGAAGACAAGTTCACTGTCCCCATGTAAGGGGTTAATATGAAAGACTGAGGAAAGGGAACAATTCTTTCTTCCTAAGTGATAAAGCAAGGAAAAAAGTTAATTCTTGCCGCTTATTTTTGGAAGCCTGTGGGATGATTTCTACATGTAGTAGTTTCTTGCTGCTATTCTTCAAAGTCATGTAATAATTATTTACAGACTGAAAAGCTGCAGTCAATATAGTAGTTTACTTGATGTGCAGGTTTGCCTTTGCAACAACAACAGAGACATTAGCAGAGACTAAATGGCTAATTTCGGAGAAGCTGATGACTGACAGTATTCATGCTGCCTACTTCAGGCATTTAACAAACACATGACTTAAAATGGCTGAGCTGAGAAGAATACATTCTTTATAAGCCTAGAGAGAAGTTAGGCAATTCAAATCATCTGTAATAAATACCTAAATGGAGATTGTTTGGATTCACTGAAAGGCATTTACTGAAGACAGACAGCTGACTCCTGGGACTTGCTGGAGGCTGGTTCTGGTGCAATCTTTATATGAAATTCTACTTTCTTTTGAAATACAGATTAGGCAGGTGCATTATCACTTTGCAGAATGGACAGCAAAGTCTTTGTCCTAAAAGTTTTACATGGAATATTTGAGTTCTCAACTTGTTTCCAAGTAAGAGCTACTTTTATTGCACCAAGAACAGCAGAAATTTTAATGCCAGCTTCCTTGTGAAAATAGTTCTAACAAAGCAATGCTACCATTTGATTTATGCATCTCTTTAGAGTGAGTAAAACCTGACAAAAATACGCTACACACATTCCTAAGTTCACATGCTGTTACTGAGAACGTGTCGCACTGAGTTCAAGTGATACAGTTTTCAAAGATGCAGAGATTTTAGCATTTGTGTACTGTTGAAAATGCTAGTTTTTTTTATAACAGACACATAACTGCCTCCCAGAGCTACACTGAAAAGGATACAAGTCTTCACATATCTATCTTACTTGACAGATGTGTTAAGTTTAAAACTTACAAATTTTGTATCACACGTCACTGAAACAAGGATTCCCGAAAGTATAGTTAGAGCTGTTCATCTTGCAGCTTACAGTTTGGTTGGTTTGTTTTGTTTTTTCAAACAAAAAAATCAATTGAATGGCTTTTATCTTTAAAACAAACTTCTTATTTTGTCTTGTTCTACTTCTTTGTTTGAAATTTTCAAGTATTCTTTGAAAATGAGAATCTCCAAATGTTTGTTTTAGGTCTGCTTCTAGTCATACTGCAGACAGACAGATGTCACATGATCTGGTTGCTGTTGGCAGGAAAAATGAAAACTTTCATCCGGTGTTCGAGCACATGGAATCTGTAGCACGAGGTGTTGAGAGCGACCCGTCGCGAGAATTTACTCAGGAAATAATCACAATTATCCATCAAATTAAAGGTGGCTGTAGTATTTGGGGTATATGTGTGTATTTATGTATTTACAATTACTATAAAAGGAATAATGAGTTAGGCATGCTGCCCTTGTAAATATCAGGTGTTAGGTTTCATTTGTTTTCATGTCATTCGTTGAAGGAGAATGTAGGTTGAAGAGCTGAAGTGGTCGGATGGAGCACTTTTTGGTTAGAAGGTCTTGCTCCTTATTTAGAGGTTACTGTAGGCTGTGAACGTAGAAGGGATTTCATGGAAGTGCTTGAAGTTAAACTGCTTTTTTAACAAGTGAAGAGAGTTGGGGGGAAAATAAAGCTTTGTTGTAGTCACAACGTTTTAGTTACATATAGTTCCTGTAATTTTTCAGATGATTTTCTAGACTTGTGTCACATGTAGTGCAGAACTTTATTTGTTGCTTCTAGTAGTTGCCATGATGGAACTGATAAACAGTTAACTTTCTTCAGCTTAATCTTACTAAGAGGGCTGTCTGAGTTGAGCTGGCCTAATCTCTCGTTTGGGAACATTAAGCTACAAGTGGAAATAGTTTGGAATTTAATCTCAGAAGTTGTCATGGTGTCCTTAGCAGTTAATCTTTTGAAAGATAATATTTCCCACAACACACTTGAAATAGTGCGCTTAAACATTCTTGTATTTAATGTCTTTGCACAGCAAATTATTTTACATCATCCGACATAACTCTGCATGAACGGTTCTCAAAAATCCAGGATAAACCAATTCCAAATATGAATGAAGTTAAAAGAAGTTTGGATCCAGAAATCCACAGGTAATTGGTGTGCTTCTGCCTTAATTTATTTGCATCAAAGTAGTTAATCTTAAGTAGGTTTAACATTACATAGCTGGAGTTGTTTGTATTTTTTCACTGACTCTAAACTATCTGTACGTAATCTGCAAAGATTCTGTAGTTGGTTAATAATGATTTATATTGATGCTGCTTATTCTTGTGTGGTTTTGCTGTTTCAGGAGGATTGACATGTCTTTAGCAGAACTTCAGAACAAACGAACTGTCCCATCAGAATCTCCTCAGGTATTCATTTTATTTTATTTTTTTTATAGTTCAGTGAAAGTTACATAGGTGTAACTAACACTTTTCTGCTTTATATTGAAAAGCTACTCTTACATGCTTTGAAGACCGCTAGCAATTCTGTTTTAAAAGGAATGCACGTGACTGTATTTACAGATATTAAACATACTTCCATTACTGTGGTAAGTAGAGTGCAGATGTGTTCTAGAATAACTGGAGCGTGGTTATTGCTACTGCTTGAACTATTTATTCTTATTTAATGTAAATACTGAGTGGGCAACTGACATGGATTCTAATTTCTGTCTGAGATTGGAAAAACCCTTAATATTTCTCCTGTGATGTTAGATTGGCCCAACGTACAGAACGCAGTTCTATACTGAACGCAGTCCTAATCCCTGCTTTTATCCAGGGGCATGGGATTTTGTTTCCCCCTTATAAACTACGCTTACTGCGATTTGGTTTCCTGTTGTTTTTCTGTGGTGCTAATGTGTGGAGGTACAACTTAATTAAGAAGAGTAGACTTTCTTAAGATTTACTGTAGTTTGTGAATTTTTTTTTGTTGTCAGTTTTATGTAGAGCAGTTATTTAACTGAAATTCCAGCTTTCTGTTCGCTACTGTTCAGAAATGTGTAAGGAGACAGATGGTGGGAGAAGGTAATTGTCAGAGAGTAGCTGCTGTTATTGTTTTGGACTTTGGATTCTTAGGCTGATGCGCAACTGTCCTGTGTCTATACGGTTAGTCAACAAGATTACTGAATAAAACCCTTGAAGGACAAATAAAGTCAATATTTCCTTATTACAAGCTAACTTGGCACCAACCCTTCCTCTTAAATAGAACATCATAAGAGTTTTAGAAGATCCAAATGATCTACGGCATGATATAGAAAGGAGAAGAAAAGAGAGACTGAAGAATGAAGATGAGAGAGCATTTCATACGGATGGTACAGCTCCAAGGTAATTAGCTAATAATAATCACATTTGCCTAAGCTTGTTCTTCTCTTGTACATTTAATTTTATCGATGCTTCCGCAGTTGCATTCAAATCTGTTGTGATTTTCTTTTGAAGTTTGACTTCAGTTGTGACATGTGTCAGTAAAATTTGAAGCTTCCTATGTAATGGTGTATTATGTTGGTAGAGGTTATTTTTCTACTACTACTTCATTGGTATTTTGTAGTTTCATAATAATGATCCAGAACGAATGCATTCTTGTGCTGCTCGGGGTGTTTCTGGTATCGTGGAATGTCAGCAAACAGAATTTGTTTGTTTGTTTTAATTTTATTAATTAACATTAAACTTTGGAATAGCTTTTTACTTCTCTGAATTCCTGCAGCAGGTCTGCTAAAGATGTGTGGCCCAGAGGTGTTTGCTAACCTCAGTCATCCTATTTTTGCTTTTGATGTTAAGATTACACGAATGGCTTATTTGTGTTAGAAGCGTTGATTGAAGAGTTGCCAGAGTGTAATGAAATGCATCTACACTGTCGTCATGTTTTGCAGATATATGAATATATTGCTAATTGTCCATTTTAAACAGTTCATAATGGCAAATCATGACAATATGTGCATATTTAGGAAAATTGACTACTAAAACTGTAAAAAAAAAAAAATAAAATAAATTAAAAAAAAAGAGAAAAAAATCCTGTGTTTGAAATTGTTTAGATAAAAAGATGAAAGTTGTCAAAGGAAAAATAAAACCAAATTATTGGACTGTTGCCTATAGCCTTATACTTGCTTGATGCTGTATCTTCAGTATATGTTTGGCTCAGTTGTCTGGTAAGGCTTTTTTTTTTGCTACTTCTGCGGTTACTAACTTGCTTTACCTTCTATATATACTATTTACAGTGGGAAGCTGGGGTTTTTTTATGAAGCGTGGCTGTCCTTGAGCTTGATGGAGGCTGGAGGACACTTGTAGTGCTGATGGCTAATGCATTTGCAGGCTGAGGGCAGTAATGGAAGATGGATACCACCTTCCTGAAAAGCAGGCTTTTTTTCACAGTTTGCACGTGAGATGTTGGCAGTGCTTAATCCGCTAGCCCGTTCTGCCTTCTTTTGGCCTTTTTTATTATACGTGTTATAGTTCTGGGAACTATAAATTTTGGCTTCTAGTCATTACTTTTCATGGTATACGTACGTTTTATTTATTGGTTGTGGATCTATCAGTAATTGGCAGTGTGCTCAGTAACAAACAAAACCAAAAAAACCCGAAGTCAGAGCCGTGTTGTACTTACTGAAGGGATAACAAGCATATTCTAGCATCTGGATATTTATCAGAGCTTCTGTCTGATTTGGAATTGGTGAGATGAGAAGCTGTGTGCGACTTTGAAGGTAGCACAATCTGAAAAACCACTGAAATACAAAAAGCGTGTCAGCCAGCAGAGGGCAGTGTTAGCCAGGCGTGGGGGTGTAGCTGTGGGAGTCGGGGAAACTTGTTTTAAAAAGTGAGGCTTTGGAAAAGACAGAAGTCACCATTCGTTATCATTGCATAAGAAAATGGAGTTTACTGTATGATTGTGTGTAACTTGTACTTCTCTTTAGCCAGAGCACTAGTCATTTATCAAATATCTTAGATTAAGATTACATGAAAGCTGTCATTTTACCATTTCTAAGTGGTACCAATGTTAAAGTAAGGTCATTTAAAATTAAACGTGTTGCTATATTACGGTTCTGGATTTTAATTGTTCTTTCTGGAATTATTCTCTCAGGAATCAGCAAAGCTGCAGTTTTTCAAGATTACAGAACTCTCAACTTGATGGCTTCCAAAAGCCCATGAGGTTCATTAAGCCACCTTTCAGGAAATTTATTGGGAAACCTCACCTGGTAAGCCTGAATCTGGAAGTAGTTGTTTCTGTGTTGTTGTTTTTTTTTTTCCTTCATAATTCATTTCCTGCTGCACTTTTTTGGGCTGATATGGCTAACGATCTGTGAACTCTTGCCTTTTAATTTCCATGCGAGTCTTTATCTTTACACTTGATCAATGATTAAAAAAGAAAATGGTTCTACAACAGTAATTCCTCAGGCATCTTTTGCAGTGCAGAATAGTTCAAGAGAGCTAAAATAGCTTTTATGACCAATGCTGGTAAAAGAATATCTTTTTTACTTTTGAACAGCTCTAGAGTATTGCTGTTGTGTTTTATTACCTCACAGGGAAGTTGCCAGGAATGTGTCTCTTCAGAAAGCTAGTTTAGGTTGGGTGTATTTACAATGGAAGCAGTATTTTTGGGGGGCGTGGGGAGATTAGGTGCTCAACTTTAGACTTCTAATTGAGTAGCATGAACAGGCTGGACTAACTTAGGGTTCATAATAATTTAGTAGAGTTAATTGATTTTAAGATGTTCCAGTAAATAGTACAAATTTATTTTATGAAGCTACAGCAGTGTAAGTTCCTGAATGCTGCATTTCTCCTGCTTTGTAATATGTACGTGATCTAAACCACAAACTAGAAGGCATTTTTACTGAGCAAGTAACTTGAAGTAATATGGAATATCTTGAGAAGGGGAAATGGGAGGTAGTTGTCATCAGTCCAGGGGCAAGATCTGAATCTTATGTCAGTAGCACTTGCAGAATGGTTCAAGTCAAAAGAGGTCTCTGAGGGTCATCTGGTCCAACTTCCTCCTTAAGCAGGTTGTCTGGGGCCATGTCCAGCATTGTTACTGTAACACTGTTTCTCCTCAGGAGGGAAGTTCTGAAATATCTTGTTTTTGTTGTTGTTGTTTCTGTTTTGTTTTTAAGAAAGAAACTGTACATGAGACTGCAGAAATGCCTGAAATTATATTCCTAGGGTTGAAATATTTTACTTGGAATAGTTTGTCTGTGTTGATACAAAGTTTATCAGAGCTAACTTGAGCACTTGATCTGTCTTAGGGCTCTCTCTTTGTAATGCACTTAATACTGAAATTGAGAAGGCAGTTAATGTTCAGTTGAAATAAATGTTTGCTCCTTTTGGAAAGCTTTCTGAATGAGTGCAGTTTTGTTTTGAAGTGCTTGTGCTTGTGTAATAGGACTTGTGCATCTGCCCATGTTGATTTGTACCATATAATTCTAAAACATCTTTTGTGGCTGGTGCTAAGAAAGGGGAGACTAAGGGAAACTGTCTGTTCTTCTATGTTGTAATTCATAGCCTATGGATAGGCTTCCAGAAGACCATCAAAGGTCCATCAAAAACAGTTTTTATGTAGTTAGAGTAGTGATTGTCATTGGAGGATAGCTGCTTGGCAGGTGTAAATGCAAAATGACTCAACACAACAATATTAAAAGTAAAAACAACAAACAAACCTGAAGACTAAGATTGAAGCCCTGTAAACATGCAGTAATACCTCCTTAACTAATATAGTAATTGCAAAATGATGCTAGATGTTAATTTGGAATAGAGACTGAATTTGAACTGTTGAAGATTCAGGAAGACTTCACATTGACATCTAGTAGCAAACTAGATGCAATTTTAAAAATAGCTTTAATGTTCCTGAGAAGCAATACATTGCACTGAGGAACTTACCAATTCAGAACAGCAGTAGCTGAGAAAGCATAGGTATTAAAAATGCAAAAGATGACTCTCCATGAAGTCAGCCATACACGAGTTAATTTGCCATCTGCATGCATCAGTAGAATGACCCAGTACTCAGCACTTGGCATGGGGGCTTTATGGACATCTTGCATATATGTCTGGAGTGTACTGATCGATGCTTTCTAATTGCATCTTCTTGTCTGTTTTTGTTCTTCGTTTTTGCTCTGTTCTTACTCTGCTCCTTTTGTTTTCCTTTTTATCTACTCTGTTAAATGCTGAAGTGATGCAGAAAGAACGCAATCTTGTCCTGGGTAGAAAAGATAAATAATACAGCTGAGTCTCATACCTGAGATGACGTAAATAGTTCAGCTACCTAACCTGGCTCCAATGCTGTGGCATTTCCTGTGGTGTACAGACAAGCTATGTGAGATTGGTGCTTATAGATGGCTTTTCTTGAAGTAGTTCTTGAGGACTGGGTGGTATGGGAAAAGATCTTGGCAGTCCATAGCTCAAGCTTGATCTCCATACATGTGAGGTACTAGCACTGCTCTGCTGTTTATTGAGGAAGCTGAGAACTGGAGCAGTTTCAAAGTAGCCAACTGTAATTTCAGCCATACATTTAACTTGTGAGGTGAGTAGTGCTTTTGTAATAAATTCAGAGCCGTGTGACTGTATCCACAACTGTTTGTGTTTTTTTCTTCAGAAATGTGATATTAATGGAGTTGAGAGCAGCTTTAAAAACAAAAAAAAACCCAAAAAACAACGAATGGGAGCAAAGGCCTCTCGTAGTTGTTTTCTCCAAGAAAGCAAATATTTGGAATTTGCAAGTCAGTCTTGTTTTGGAATAGAAGTTTAGATGTGAACACTGTTGTAAACTGTTCTAATGTAAATGTTAGAAAGCGTAAGGCTTTAATGACTAAAAGGCAGTGCACAGAGAGGAGTGCAGTGGATTTAAGAAATAGTTTGTTGAGGCACCAGAATATTGGTGTTGGGCCAGCCACATTTATTAAACAGGAAACAAATAGGAAGTGTGCTAAAATAAGCTTATATGAGTGGGGCACGGGAATGCATGAAAATACTGAGGAAGGGACTGAAACTTAAGCAAGAGCTAAGATAATAGTTATTGGATAAGAAAGTACTCAGTGGTTTAGCTCTTTCTTACAGATACGTGAGTGGAAATTGTTTCAGTTAATTCCAGGCACAGCTCACCAGTTTTTGTGGAAAGCTGTTCTGTACTGCAGGAGAGAGGTGGCAATAGCATGTTGTGTCAGCAAAAATCATAAAGGTGAGGGAAAAGCACAGTGGAGAAAGCATACAGTAGATGTCACCACTCTGTTTAAGAACATTCCACCTATAATTTTAAAAATCAAACCCTGGAAAAACTTGAAGAACTCCTCTTAGGTTTATTTGCTCTGATCTACAGGTGAATATGGAGAGAAGAAAGAGTACATCAGAGAGCCAGGTTTCAAATGACAAGCATAGCAGTGTCAAAACTAAGACCATGCATGAATGGCCCACGGACATGTTTGAGTGTGGGGGGAGTGGGCTGGTGCTCCATATTCAGCTAAGACAAACTTTTCTTAATTCCTAATAATCTATTTTTAACTACAGCAAGAAATCTTTTTTAATATCTTCTCTTTGAATCTTGCTAAATACTCTTCTTTAAGGAAGAGTGTACTACAATAGTAGGCTTCCTCGTTTGGTTATGTAATGTAGAGAGGAAGGGAACAAAGAGGAAGAAGAAAGTTTGTGAAGGTAACCAAGTGGCTTTTTCCAAGAAAAACAGAATGAAATACCCAGAGGGAAAAGCATGTCAAACTTCCCAGCTTCCTTCCTTGTAAGTATTTGATTTCATGGACTATCTTTGTATTCTAAGTCCACTCCTGGCAAGGCATTTTCAGGAGCTAAACAGTTGACTTGCAGGCAATAATATGTTCTTCTAAAAAATGCTATTTTAAACCCCAGTTAGAGCTAAATTGGATTCCAGCAGTGCTCTGTTGCATTTATTAGCCTACCAACATTAGAAAGCATACAAAAGTGTTTCTGCCACTGGGAAGGTTTGATATTTTGCTAGAGAGCAGAAATTCTTTAGGCAGCAAAACATAAAAAAATACATTTGCATTTTATTATACAATGTTAGTTTATTTGAGACAAATGAGAGTTCTTAAGTTTTTCTTAAAATGTATTTAAAGCTGTTTTAGTTACGTTGGGGAAAGAAAAAAGGAATTCAGTAGTGCTGGGACACTTCTGTGGCCTTGAAGACTACTTTTAAAGGGAACAGGGGAAAAGTGCATTTGGCCAAGAATTCATTAGCAATTCGGTTCTGTCTTCATTAGATGAATATAGTGTAGCATGTATCAGTGTGTAATACTTGTCAGTACTTGTATGCAATGATGGGGGAAAATGATACTTTAGCTGAACGGATCCTGTCATGGTAACTGTCATGGGAAAAGCTGGAAAAGATGAAAGAACACAGTGTCTGGAGGGAGTGCTCTGTTTTATGCAACCATGACTGTTTGCCTTCTGCTTTCAGTGTGCTAACACAACAGTTTTGATACCACTTGTCCATGCCACTTGTCCTTAAGGTCAGGTATGTTTCTGTGGCTAGCAATTCTTCTCCGATATGCTACTATATAATACAAATTTAAAAGCAGAATATTTGGAGGGCCAATGCATTTGTCTGGTTGCTGTGGTGGTATGTAGAGCAGTGATGCTTGTGTTTGTGGTAAATGCTCTAATAGTGACCATATGCTAACCAGGAGTATCCAGAGTACTAATCTTGCTCTTATTCCTGACTCAAGGGATGACTGCTAGAGCAGTCTATTACACATGCTGTGTGCTAATTGAGGCATGTGTTCTGAAGGGACAGGGTTGTAGAGCCTTCACTGAAGAAATCCAAGCAGGTAACAACCCAAGAGGACGATATTCCAACACAATGGTTTGTATCATCTTTGGGTTTGATGGGCTCTGCTGTCACTATAGCCAACCTGTACTCCAGGCCCTTTGCTTCTCTTTTGGTGCTTTCAGACAGTGTCTTTGTGTCAAAATCACAAGGCTGAAAGGACTTTAACATGTGTTAGTATAACCTGGAAACTGTTTTCCTTTGTAATTTAATAATGTTAAGCTAATAACTTTGCTATCTGTTTTCAAACTAGAATTCTTACTATTCTTCAAGAACAAACGATACTTTCCCGCATAGACATGTTAGAGGACGCCTTGAGAACACAGGTCCCATCAGGAGACACTTTAAGGTACAGACCAGCTTTTATCAGAAGTGTGTTGTATAAATTGTGACTTTGATCCTCTTGAGTTTGGTAAAGAAATGCAGATTTGAAGGTATCAAATGTGAAAAGTAGTAGCAGTGTGGCCTAATTGTTTCTGCTGACATAATGGGAGGAAAGAGGGCTGGCAGTGGATTGAGCTGAGTTATTCAGTATTCTATCCATACAGCTGAAATAAAAATAAATATCCAACTAGATTTATTTATGTCAAGAAAAAAAAGCTTTCTCATTTTATCCTTTAAAGTTACCCGTACTTGCTATTTAACAAGTGTACTCTCAGGAGAAAAACAGCACAGAATAGGTATTGATCCTTCTTGTTCTAAAGATAGTGAAGTTGAAGTAAGGCTATGTTGGCTGAGCTCAGTGGCTAGCACTTTGGATGACAATTTGAAGAGTAGAAGGGCTCTTCTGCCCCCTCAGACTGAATATAAGGGAACTGTTGGGGAAAAAAAGGCAGTCAGTCTGCCAGAAAGCTAAGCTAATACTATCAAAAAGGGCTCACTATTCTGCTGTTTAAAGAACCAATGAAACAGAAAAAACTTTCAAGCTGAAGCTTAACAAGTTAAAAATGCTAGCCTGCATAACTCCATCTTAACACAGAAAGGTGTCATAGTCTCTTATTCAGTATTCTTTCCTGTCCCCTCCATGTGGCCTTTTTATAAGGGATGAGTGGTTATTCACCACTATCTCTTTGAGGTTATGTTGGTAGATTATTCAAAGCAGTTTTCAATTTCCTTTATTTTACATCAGCACTGAATTCTGCTGTGCAAACATAAGTCTGCTTAAACTGCAATTACCTTTATATATGAAACTGAACATTGCTGTATCCAGAGATTGGTTCCATACTGCTTTAATATCTGTTGAGAAGATAGCATTTTCACTGGTATTGTGGTTTCTATATGTGTATAGCACATTATTACTACCATGGAAACAGCATTGCTGATTTGATTTCATCAGTGTTCTTACATTTCATTTCCTCTTGCATAACTTAAAGGATTTTTCCTGCCTATGCTGTTGCTGAAACCTGCTTCAGGAAGGTGATTTGACACTCAAGAGCCTTCCTTGGCTGAATATTAAAAATACACTGAATTCTTCTTCCTGATTAATAAAATTGGAGAGTCCTAACCTAATTAAAAAGAAAAAAAAAGAGGAGGGGAGTTATTAGCATATATGGTCTTGCAAAAAGTTTAACATTCTACAGAAAAAAATCCTTTGAGCATCAGTTTCATAAGAGATCCAAAGAAATCTTACACAGATTAAAAGATCTTTTCTGTGAAAAGACTTTAAAATGTTGACTGTGATTCATTTCAGTAGGTACTGTATGTACGGTTATCTTCTGAACTAAACTTCATTCTGTAATTTACACAGTCCTGTGTGTTAATGGCTTGCTCGCTCTCCCACCTCCAGCAGCACTAGGGAAGAGAAGAGGGGGAGCGAAAACAATGGCCTGGGTTGAATGTGGAGGTTGGTGGAACAGCCTCTGGAGGGAGGGATTGGAGACTCATGATTCTTGAGGTCCCTTTCAACCTGTGCCATTCCGTGATGCTGTGGAAATCATCTAGTTTCAACCCCCCTGCTGGGTGCAGGGTTGCCAACCATGAGACAAGGCTGCCCAGAGCCATGTCCAGCCTGGCCTTGAATACCTCCAAGGATGGGGCATCCATAACCTCCTTGGGCAACCTGTTCCAGTGCGTCACCAGTCAAGTAAAGGAAAGATGAAGGAAAAAGGAATGATACAAAGGCAATTGCTTACCGTATCCCACAGGGAGACTGATGCTCAGCCAGCCTCCAGGCAGCGGCTTTCCTCAGTATTCTTACTGAGCATGAGCATGGAAATCCTTTGGTCAGTTTGGGTAAGTTGTCCTGACTATCCAGGCTGTGTCCCCTCCCAGTGTCTTGCCTGGCCAGCTTGTTGGGAGCCAGGCTGAAGGAAGAGAGAGTAGTAATGCTGTGCAGATACTGTTCAGCTGCAGCCAGAAACATTGCTGTGTTGTCTGTGCTGTATCAGTCACCAATTGAAACCATGGTCTGGTGTGGACTGCTGTGAAGAAAATTGACTCTGCCCTAGCCAGACACAGTACAGTGTTAACATATTAGCTCTTACAGACTTCTCAGAGCTTGAAAGCCACTGGTTCATAGGCAGCATGAGTAGCATTGATTATAAAATGGTCCTGAGGTAATATTAGATGTCACTTCAGTTTGTTTTTTTCCTGAGGCTGAAATGTAGTTGTTTTTCATTCACCTTCATTCACACCATTAGATTATCTCATTTTACTCTCAACTGTGTGTGACTGCAGTTACCTGTGTACCAAGTATATGATCTGTTAACTGTTCCTGTGTCTGATTCTGCCCTGCTAATAGTACTTCTGTACCTCATTCTCCCTGCTTGTGTAGATGCTTGTGTTGCAACTGAAGTGTACGTATAATCTCGCTTTCGGTATCTTGCACCTTTTCTTCCTTTCTTATTTGTTCTGGTTCTTTGCTGCTTGCTGTGCAAATGCAGCCCCCTGAGGCTCCCTTGGTAGCCTCCTGTGTCAGAACAGAGAACCGCAGCAACTGTGGGAGAAATGAGGACCTCTGCTGTTAATTGTGTTCAATGCCTTAATATAGCATTGCAAACGCCCTTCAGCTTCCCCTATGGTAGGCGTGTATCTACTTAAGGAATTTACTTGCACCTAATTATATTGTGATTGGACTCTGATGGCTTTTCGGTAAAGGGGTGAGATAGCATTTAGTAGCCTTCTCCAAGTATGTCCTTTGCCTACAAGCATCATGAGAGTGACGCTAGGGAACTGATGGGGCCAGCTTCATGTTATCTCTACATATTAGGTGGCTGAAGTGATTTTCTTAAAATAACAGAAACTGTATTTGCATTGAGTAACCTCTGTTCTGTGCAGTCCTTAGCTGTTCTTCAGCTACACCATGGAGAAACTGGTACCAAGCTTATCACAACCTCAGAGCATGTGATTTTTCTTGAAGTGATCCTTACTCTGTCAAAAGGAGACTGACTTCACCAGAGCAATTAGGTCATGCTCAAGAAAGGCTCTTTTTCTGTTGTTTAATTCTGTCTTACTTTAAATCTGTTTGTAAAGTGTGACAGCTATTTTATATCAACATAATGTTTCCTTTTTATGTAAGAACTTTTTTTTTTTTTTTTTTTTTTTTACTCTGCATGGGGTGAAAAAGCTTTAAAGGGTGAACATCTACAGGATTTTTTTTCTGTTACTGTCACATTTGAAAACTTTAATCTGCATTATTGGAAAATGAGGCAAAATTACAGTGAACCTTTCTGAGACTTCATAGCTTGTTCTGTTGGAGATTGGAGTGCTTTTTATCCTTTTAGCTGCTGCTGTCAGTGTTGGTCTTCCTATATTGCTATTTCTGGGAATTTCTAATTCCCTCACCAGTAAGCTCTGTTACATTTGTTCCCATGCTAGGTTAGCATACAGTATTTCAGTTGGGGGGTGATAAAAGAACAGAGTAAGGGAAGTAATTCTGTGGTCTTACGGTGTGAGGATACATGATAAATAGTCATGCTAACTTCTACTTAGCATAACTTTTTTAGGTTCAACACATTTGCCTGCTGCAGGCCTGTATCAGTGAATTTGGTAGCAAGTATGGTGCTTTTTTTTTCTTTTTGTTGTTGTTTTCCTTTTAGCAATTCCTGTTTTTCTGTAACAATGACCATTTCAGATGTTTTAAACAGCGAATGTGATAAAGTAGCTGGTGTTCTAAGGAACAGCAAGCTGTAAATAAGGAAGAGGCTCAGTATTTGCTATTGCATGTTCTTGTTCAGTACTGTCGGTTTTGTGTGTATATACAACTGTAAATGCCAGCTATTGAGTTTTGGTGCCCTCATTCTGCACTTTTTTCCTCCCTTTCCGTACTGTTACAGAGCAACTTTGCAGATGGCCGTTTGCAATCCCATTATAAATCAGGCTTAGTACAGAAGGGTTTATATATTCAAGCTAAGTACCAGCGGTTACGTTCTGTTGGTGTAAGGGGGTTTACCACTAATAAATACAGAGATGGATTTCTGAGGAAAGAAAAGGTGAGTTGGTTTAATTTCTTCTTCACTAAGTGCTTTTATGAAAATGTGAATATTCAAATTGCCCACTACGGTTTTTATATCCCCATGGAATAGCTCAGATGGGATACTTCGGAACATTGCCTGTAAAAGCACAAGGAGGCACACTTGATTTTGCACTTATTTTCTTCATGGGTATTTGTTTGAGCTGTGCTGTGAGGTTCTGTGATGATTTCCAATATTCTCTTCTTGGTCTGCTTTCTTATTGATGAGAGAAAGTGGACCTCTGTTGAAAATGTTAGATCGTCTTAAGACTACAGTTCTAAATTAACATGAAGAGTATTGATACGCTTTTTGATTAAGTTTATGTTTCTGTTCCTCATTGTGTTATCTTACATTCATCATGTGCCTTAAAGTGCTGTTCTGAATAAAGCATCCTGTAGTGTATGGTGCCTGAAAAACTCAGCTTTCAGCTCGGGCTGAAAAACTCTAGCACATCTATCTTACACTTTGATTTGCAGTGTGTGTGAGACAGTGATAATACAGAAGTGCAGAAGAACTTCTGAACTGTTTAAAATGTTACAGCTTTTGGGAGTAGAAGTGGTTAAAGCACTCTCAATCCTTTATTAGAATTGGTCAAGTGTAATTAGAGTTGGGTAGGGCTACTCATGGCATCAGAATTGAATTAGATGACCTGCACAGCCCTTTCCAGTTGTGTGTTCCTTTGAGAATGTTAGTTTTGTAATTCTCTGTCTGTGTCCGTACAAGTAAATACACTTGCATAATAAGCATTAGTGGTTGGATTAGAGTTGAGTTTTTAGAGTGCAGAAACATTAATAGGTTCTTAGAGCCATTTTAAAAAAAGCAAAGCTACCAGTCTGGTAGAAGAATGAAGAAAGTGGAAAAATAAGCAACAAAACCAATAAGCAAAGACTCAAAGAAAACTAAACATGTTAAAGAGGTTGCTTCTTGCTAAAATATACTGGTGAGTTGTTTTTAAATTGGTATGGACTCAAATAAATATAGCAGAAGGGCAAATGGAATGGGAATTAATGGGAAACAAGTGTGGAAAGGTTTTTTCCAAAAAGTATAGATCTGGAAAATGGGCATAAAGTGCCATAACCTAATTTTGTTGTAGTGAGCTTCCCTCCCCCCCATTAAATTCCAATGCTGTTCTGTAATTGGATATTAAGGTTCTTGTCTGGAGCTTATTAGAATAATCTTAACAAAATCTGGCTCTTGGTGATTATGATTTCAAATAGAGAAATAAGATCTGAATATTGATTTTTGGCTGAGGAGGAAATTGAGTATCACTGATGTCAAAGAAACCTTTCAGAATGACAGCCGTTTTTTTTTTTTTTTTAAACATGCTGATTGATGGTTGGGTAATTCTTTAGAAACAGCTATTCCTTAGATTGTAGATTGTATCCCTTATTTTGTACAGTGTAATAATTACACTTCAAGACTAGTTAAACTGGTGAGAGCGCCTTTGGTTTACTTCACTCTTTTGAAATAATTATGCATATGCATCCTTTAAGGCACAGTCTTTACAATTGATTGCTTTTTGAATCCCTAACTAAAAGAATTTATGTTACTATAATGATATGGTATTTATAAGAAAGTTGGGGGCTTATTTTTTTTTTTGCTGTTAGAAATCTGACAGTAACGATTGCTTTCTTTCTCTTTGTAGGGAAATTTAAATACTGGGACAGAAACCTGAACTAAGCTCTGATCCTGAAGTTGAAACGTGAAACACAGAAAAGGGAACATCTGTTCACTTTTGGCAACTTTGTCCAGACCTAAATTGGGATAAAGGAACTAACCCTGTAACTTTCTTGATTAAAAAATAACTTTATTTTTTGGTAGGAGAATGCTGCAGAACTTTTTTACGGTTTTCATAATTGCTTTTAAACTACAGTATTCAATGGAAATGTTGTAGTATGTACCTTTAGTTCCTTTTGCATACCGGTCTCGAGTAAAGAAGTCACTGAAGGGAGTCTTATTTATTGATTACTTTTTCTCCAAGCATGATGTTACAGATGGAACTTGAGTTGTTATACCCAGAGGTTTATATGTTCAAAGTTTATTGCTTATGTAATAAAAAAGGAAAACAAAAAAAAAGTGCCTGAATTGTTTGGTAATAGCACATAGCTCAGGATTAGCCAAGAAAGAAATGACCTGGTAGGTTGCGCAATAGATCTTACACCTCTGTTCAGTCCTTTCCATAAAACAATATTCTGTATTACTTCATTGGAGTTTCATAATATTCTTGGGTTTCTGAGATGTGTATACATTTGTGAAGTGTTAAGACTGCTGAGACAATTTTTGGTATTTGATGAACATGAATGGCAACAGGCAGGTATGCAGTGTTCTGTAGCAGTAGTTTGTAACTGCACTGAAGGCATGCTTGGGTTTGTTATGGGGTTAGTTGGTCTGTATTCAAAGTTACTGTCTCATAGGTTTGTGGGGTTTTTTTATGTATGGCATTCTTGACGAAGCCATGTGTTCTTTCATCTTGTCATAAATGATTTGGTGGCTTCTTGAATTCTGAAATTGGGGCCTGAAGTGTTTAGTTGCAAGGGGAAAAAAAAAAAAAAAAACAACAAAACAAGAAATGTAAGTTTTTTATAAGCATGTATTTTAACAAAGCTGTTCATAATTGAAACTGCTTTAAATGCAGATAGCTTGTAACTTTGTTCAAAATCCCAGTAATTCTCCAAAGCTTACAGTGCTTCAGAGGAGAACGTATTGTTATGCTGTATGCAGAATTTAAATAGCTCGACATGTTTTTCAGCAGCTATAAACAATATTGTGCTTATTTCCTGTTTATAGCTTTGCCTTAATATAATATATATAGTAGGGTTGTGTACATGTATTACAGATTTCTTCACTTTTTTATTACAGGTAAATTGAAGATGTGTAAGAAGTAGTTTTCAGATAACGTCCTTATTTGTTTTAAGGAAACATTTTTCCATAATTTCTGGGACAGTGTTAGCTGTAGGGAATGCAGGCTAGGCTCTATGATGGATAACAGATCAGAATTCTGATCGTGGGTAGGGGTAGGTTCAGAGAAAAGGATATTTGTCTTTTGGTGGAAAGTCAGGATGTGACTTTTTTTTCTTTGCATGATTTCTTTGTTGTGGTTTTTTTTTCTTTTCTTCTCCACAGTGCTTCCAGTAGAGGAGTTATTTGTTGGAAGCATAGGTAATGGCTCAGAGCAGCTAAAATAGTGTCACTTAATCTTAAATCATGGGATGTACTGCTTAGTGTTCATAGAAAATAAGTAGGCGGGAAGTGTGCCAGATTCATTGATGCTATGGTGATTCAACAACAACACCAGATGGTATAAGTTTCTAAAACTCGAGTTTTCAGTTGAAATAATTATTAAGTGATTCAGCTAGTATTTAAGTAACTTTCTGACATACAAATTCAAAATGGGAAGTTAAAGGAAAAGAATTTCTTGATCTGCAGGAAGTTAGCTGCTTCCGTTTGATCGGAAATACTTGTGATGCTGTCGCTGATGAACCCAACTATAAAATCATCCTGTGTGGATTTACCAGCAAGTGGAAATTGAAGCAACAAATTGAGCCAACCCAAAGCAAATAAGGAGCCGCCGTGTTCGTTAAGCAGCCCAGTGTCGGGAAGTGCTGCGAGTACCACTGCAGATGGGTGCAGGTTCACCCTGAAGCCAACAAGTTTTTCCACGCTGCTCCTGAACACATTAAGCATTGTAAAACGCAGGTGAAACCATACATGATACAGGACAAACTACTGAAGCTATCATGTCTTACTTTGCAGGATACTACTGTTTCTGTGAGCTTCCTTTGTTGTTCTTCCTAAAGCCTGGAAGAGAGTTTGTTGTTGAGCCCAATGGGAGAAGTGGATATGTGAAGAAACTTGTGGCATGTCAGTTTTGCTAAGGTTGTCTAGAAATAATGCTGAAGTAGTCAGACTTCAGCCAGTTAATGCTGCTTTCATTTTTTATTTTAATATGAAAACCAGGTTTAAGAGTGCAAATGCCTCCAGTTTTGTGCTTTATTTTACTTATGCACAGCTAGTTTTAGTACTTTGTGTCTAGTTTCTTCAATATAGGTTGTTATTTCTGTAACTGTAAGCAACGTATTACCATATGATATCCGATTATTATTTCTGTAACTGTAAGCAACATATTACCAATGTGGTATCTTTTAATATGTTTACTGATGTTTATTTTATTCACCTCATCCCCACATTGGTCCCGAGATGAATGTCATATGATGAAATGTAGTTCCTGTTACAGTTGCTTTAGCTTTTTTGTGAGGAGCTTCCATCTGCTGAAATCACATTCTTTACCAGTAACTTTGCTTTACTAATCAGATTTGTACAGAAATTTAATTCAGCGATTGAATTAGGTGCTAGAGGGAACCTAACTGTCTGGTCTGCAACTTACTGTGCTTTGAATCTTTAGCTGGAGACTGACGTCTGTATGCACACAAGAGTAATTGGCTCATTTTTTCTTTCAGCATAGGAAAGTTCTGTTGTACTGACAGAATGGTTAGTTGAGAATAATATATTGAAATTACTGATTGGTTTGTGAGAGGGCTCAAGTTGAGAAAACGAGTGTTAAGAAGAAGTTCAGTTTACTTGAATAATTTGGTGCCTTTCTATATTGTGACTACATTGTAGAAAATGCCCTCTGTACAAAGACTTAAATAATGTTCTGATTATTGCATTATTTCTAATATGAGCATGGACTGAGTAGAGTTGTTAATGTAACTGCTTACTTTCAACTATGTGAGTAATCCTCTGCTCCAAAGGAAAAATGTTCCTTGTATTAGTGAAGCTGGTCACTGCATTTGCATTGGAAAGGCAAGTCAAGAATATGATTGTCTAAGAGCTAGTTAGCTTTGTTTTATAAATGTGAATTGCCTTTCTGTTAGTTGACTTGAAATGACCGCTGAATGCTTGTCATGTTCTCAGTTGTTCACATGTGAAATGTTTTTTTTTCTTTTCATGGCTATCCAAAATACAGTCAATGAACATGATTAGTCTTCCTTATAAGTGTCGTAAGTTGTGAATTTAGTGTTAATGCTGCTGATCGGTTTAATCTCTATATTGATTGATTGGGTTAAATCCTCATTTTATAATTCTTAGCTTATATGTGGTGATCAAGTCAAGAAAATTCTGGGGCTAGTAAGCAACACATCATGAAGTATGTATAAGTCTGCCTTAACTCTAATAATGACTTAAATGATTCATATCACCTTATCTGATGCATTTAGGTGGTCCTGAGACCTCAATGTGATTGTCAAAGCTCAAGTACCCAGTAGCAGGAGGTGAGAGCAAATTCAGCTGATAGCCAGTTGTGATAATAGCTTACCTGCTGCTTTCTCTCACGGGGCCTTGGGGTGAAATGCTGATTTTTCTTTGTGTGAACTTCCTTTAAGAGCAAAATAAATTTAAAAAATCACACTTCTGGGCATTATGGAACTCTGGGTTTTCAAAAGATGATTGTTTGTTGTGTTTCACAAGGTCTTTCTCTGCCATGTCTAGGAAATTGATAGTGAAAATTGGTTGGAGAAGATGATTAAAGATTTTAGCAAAGATTAAGCTATGGAGATCTGATTTGTCAGCCTTCTCGCTTTTAGAAGACTTGTAAGCAGAGGGAGATTCTTCAACTTCCTTCTTTACTGAAGAAATCTTTTCCCATACACTTCAGAAATAGGCCTCTTGCTTTTCTTCAGGCATCTGAACAGCCACCTCTACAGGAGGTTCTCTAAAAGAAAGGCTTGCATCCTAATGAATCCGCAAGAACTGGATGTTTCTCTACAAATCTGGCCCTTGACAGACTTCGTTCCACTGCGGCAGGGTTTGAAGATCAGAGTTTCATCTTAAAGGAGGGAGGGGAAGGAAATAAAAGCCATTTCAGGATTGTTGTAAGCCTGCTTGTAACACTTAACTCCTTTGTAGATAGGGAGGATGGTAGTGAACGTTTAAATGTGTTCTGTTTTAAGCTTGGTGAACGTATTTTTTCAGCTGAGATCTGAGACTGCTGTTGTTGCGATACCTGCCCCCTCCTTGTCCTTTCTTTGCCTTGATGTTGTTTTGGTGGAGGGTGTTCTCAGTAGGTATTTAGCCCCGTGGTTTAATAGTTTTATGCTGCCTGCCACTTTAATATGGTTTTCCTCTGTTCGCTGCTCTCAATTTTGTCAAAGTCTCACATTGTTTTAATATTTCATTTTCTGTAAATAATGCAGTAGATGGCTTTTATTTTGTGACTGGCTCCTTGTGCTTTTGTTGTTGAAGGAAGAGATAGAGGGGAAGCAGTTGTTTTTGGTTCGCTTTTCATGGAATAAAAAAAAAAACACCGTATTGAATATTTTAAGAATAGCAGGGCTAGTTTTTTTCCTTTTTTAGCAACTGAATGAGAATGTGGACTAATGCCCATTTCTAAGGAATATATTCAAGTTCACCTTATTTATACTGTAGTTTTCTCCTCCATTAGGACCTTCTAATGAGTGTATGTGCGTGTGTGTATACATATGCACAAATAATATGATCAGAAACCTTTAATGGAATCATTCGTAAGCGTGGATTTAAAAGAAGAAAAAAAATAACCTTTTTAAACTATTAAACTACTGAAGATGGAATTAAATGCAAAAGCATTTTGTGTGTAGTCTCTGGAGTCCACAACGGTGCTTCCGACAATGTTATTCCATACCTAGATCTCATGTTCATAAGTACATACTAAGATGTAGGTATGTGTATATGTATGTTTAATATAGTTTCTATAAAATCAATGTAAATTTTGTTTCTACTGACAATAAATGTTGTAACAAAATTTCTACTTACAAATACATCCAGTGATTTGATTCAGTAGTTCATTAATATTTAGTATCATTTTCAGAGTATTTTACATGATCTGGGTAGCCATTGGAATGTTATAAATAATGTGCTTCTGTAGTTTCATCTGTTGTTACTTCAGAAGTTTGAAGCTTTGATCTACTTTTTAGGTATAGAGTTTTGGTTAAAAGAAGCTCTCTGCCTGCAGACACTGAATGTGCAAAACAGAAGTTTGGGGAGGGGGTGGAGGCAAGCACTTGCTTGGCTGACTTCACCAAAGGCTTCACCAAATATTACAT